AGGTACAGGAGATACATGGTGTCAACCTTGTAATGCTAAAAGATTTAAGGAAAATTTTAAAAATTGGACTAGTGGAAATAAAAATATTGATGAATTAATACAACAATCACAACTTAATGCTTTACATACTTTTAAATGTCTTGAATGGATACCTTTTGAAAAATTTGAAAATGTTACCTATCTTACCAGGGGTGGTTTTAGTAAAATTTATTCGGCTGACTGGCCTGAAGGAAATATTGAATATTGGGATATTGAAAATCAAAAATGGCACCTAACACCTCCAAATGTAAAAGTTGTATTAAAAAGTTTAGATAATTCATCTAATATGAATGATGATTTTTTGAATGAGGTAATTAAATAATATTGCTTTAATTTGTATTTATGTATTAATACATATTTGTAAACAGATTTCTCTTTAAATTAGATTAAATATTATATTTCAAGTCATTTTTCTTGTGTTAATACCGTCATATGTTATGGAATAACTCAAGATCCAGACACCCAAAATTATATGATGGTTTTACAATATTATAAGAATGGAGATTTGAGAAATAATTTAATGAATGATTTAGAATATGGAAATAAAATTCGATATTTATTTACGATCATAGATGGCCTTTTAGCTATTCACAACACTGGAAAAGTTCATAAAGATTTTCATTCAGGAAATGTATTATTAGATGGTAACGTCCTAGCTATTAGTGATTTAGGAATGTGTCAACCAGCAGATGATAATGAGCGAAAAGGAGTTTTTGGGGTAATACCTTATATGGCACCAGAAGTTTTACGTGGACATCAATATACACAAGCAGCAGATATTTACTCATTTGGAATAATAATGAATGAACTTATGTCAGAAGAAATTGCTTTTAATGATATTCCTCATGATCGTACTTTGGCCGTTAAAATATGTAAAGGACTTAGACCTAAAATTTCTGAAGATACACCAGAATTAATTGCAAATTTGATTATTAAATGTTGGGATGCTAAAGCAGAGAATAGACCAGCTGCTAAAGAATTATTTCAACTATTAAGAAAATATTTCGATGAACTTAACAAAGAAGTTAGCGAAATTTATTCTCAAATAAAAGAATGCGAAAAAATTAAAGTGAATAAATTAAAAAACAGAACAAATGAGAATAAATCTAAAAATTTTCAAACACACCCACAAGCAATTTATACTAGCAGACTTTTGAATTTTAAAAATCTTCCAGAACCAGTAAATTCAACCGATTATTTATCTTCATTTCAAGGTAAATTTACTAGTACATTTTAAAAATTAATATGTAAATATATTTTTATAAATTTATTTATTTGTTTTTTATCAGAGCCCGTTTCATCAATATCAGAAAATCCAAGTAAGTATATACTTCGCATTATTATTAGAGTTATTTTGGTTATTATAATAACATTTATTTTCAATTTATTAATAGTTTCTGAATGCTTGGATTATGAATTAAATGAATTCGGTAATATATTTGTTATTAAATATGTGAAATTATGTTAATTTATTTTAATCATTATTTATTTATTTTTTTAAAGATCTCAATCAAGAATGATGATGAATGAATTTTACAGTGATTCATATTTTTATTATTATAAATTATTTCATTTTTATAAATTCTTTTTTGTTTTCATCACTTTATTATCATATTAACTTGAAAAATTCTTTAGAAAAAAATGCAAAAAAAATTATGAAATATAAAAATTTAAAAAAATCTATTATACAATATAACGTGCGAAGTTGTAAATCAAACGATTTTAAATAAAATTTAAAATACAGAATAAATACACCATCGTCGTATCATCCTATTGAGACGAATTATCTGTTATGTATATGAAAATATCTTTTTGGTTGTTTACTCGGCTTAATCAATATTCTTTGAGCACCTTTTCTTAAATTGGTAGATTGGCATCTTTAAATTATAATCTTTAAGATTTTTTGTCGGAATTAAAAATTATTCACGTGATTCTAGAACTTCCTTTACCAAAAATATTCTGAATCTATTATATAAATTTTATTATTGAAATAAACATCAAATCATTCGAACTGTTGAGTCAGTCCGCAACGATCAGTTGATTGAAAAAATCAGGTTTTAAATTTGAATGAATATACAGAAAACAAAATTGTATTTAAGTGATAATATCGAAATTTTTTTTTAGAAAAATAGATGAGTTGATAAGACATAACTCATGCGGTTATGTATATAGTAAATACAGTACAAATTTAACATTATATATTAAAAAGGACAAGTTTATTAATAAAAAAAGGCGTGATTATATTACGCATTTACGCAGCGTGAAAATGACATGCACATCTATAGTAAAATCTATGATTACTTATACTTTATATTTTTGGCCAAACTTTTTTAAATAACGAATTTTTGGTGAAATTAACATAATTTCACGTGGTTGATACAACGGATGTCTAAAGTGGAGTTAAATCACGTGACTTTGGACAAAATTGTTTTTTCGAAAAATATTTTTATCTACATATATAGATATAGATGCATTTAATCCTGCTCTGCAAGTTTACTTAGAGTATAAAATGAGGTTATGAATGCCGGTTTTGACTTATTTGATTTTCATTATTATTAAAATTTTATTTATCCATTTTGTCAAAATCCGTTTGCTCATATGTAAAATCAAAAACAGCATTCAAATGTACTTTTTTCCTTAAGTAAACTTGCAGAGCAGGCTAAAATGTGGGGTTTAACTTTATATTAATCTTAGTTTATGAAAAAATCAATCAAACTATATTAAATCACGTGATTTAATTCCACACCCTTAGTCATAAGGTCATAACACAAAAATCTAAATTAAGGTTCATTCGACGGAGATTTTTAAATAAACATTTCGTAATACTGTACCAAACTTTTTTTTTGTACCTTTTTTTTACAGTTTTTTACTTACTAAAAAATTATCCTAATTGTAAAAACTCTAATTTTGTATTTTTTTGATATCTTGTCTGTTACTTCATAATTTGAATTCCGAATTGCTTTTTTTTACAAAAAATTTTTTATATTGTATAACAACTTGCAATTAATTATATTCGCTAAAACGAAATAATTATTAAAACAATATCGTTATTTTTTTTTTTATTAAAATTATTTATAAATGGATACATCAAAACAAAATATAAATACTACCGAAAATACAATAGAAAATAATTCTAAAACTGGTGCTAAAAATTTATGGAAAGAATGTGATGAAGTACATCAGGTAAATTCATTATCACAATTAACAATGAAATAATATAAATTTTTATTAAAAAATCTTTTTTTTTTAATCATTTATTTAATAGTTGCACGCTACAATTTTTTCCATTGGTTCAACTAGTACTGAATCAGATGAAACTAATTTTCTTTTTAAAAAAATCAATATTATGGATTTAGAAAAAAGAAAAGAAGTTTACGGAGTGTGTGGAGAATGTAATGAACCAGGTACAGGAGATCAATGGTGTCAACCTTGTAATGCTAAAAGATTTAAGGAAAATTTTAAAAATTGGACTAGTGGAAATGAAAATATTGATAAATTTATAAAACAATCACAACTTAATGCTTTACATACTTTTAAATGTCTTGAATGGATACCTTTTGAAAAATTTGAAAATGTTACCTATATTACCAGAGGTGGTTTTAGTAAAATTTATTCGGCTGACTGGTCTGAAGGAAATATTGAATATTGGGATATAGAAAATCAAAAATGGGACCGAACTCCAAATGTGAAAGTTGCATTAAAAAGTTTGGATAATTCGTCTAAAATAAGTAATGATTTTTTAAATGAGGTAATTAAAAAATAGTGCTTAAATTTAGATTTATGTATTAATGCACATTTGTTAACGGATTTCTCTTTAAATAAATTATATTAGATTAAATATTATATTTCAGGGCATTTTTCTTGTTTTAATACCGCCATATGTTATGGAATAACTCAAGATCCAGACACCCGAAATTATATGATGGTTTTACAATATTATGAGAATGGAGATTTGAGAAATAATTTAATGAATGATTTAGAATATAGGCATAAAATTATTAATTTGTATTGGATAATAGATGGACTTTTAGCTATTCACGATGCTGGAAAGGTTCATAAAGATTTTCATTCAGGAAATGTATTATTAGATGGTGACATTCTAGCTATTAGTGATTTAGGAATGTGTCAACCAGCAGATGATAATGAGCGAAAAGGAGTTTTTGGGGTAATACCTTATATGGCACCAGAAGTTTTACGTGGACATCAATATACACAAGCAGCAGATATTTACTCATTCGGAATAATGATGAATGAACTTATGTCAGAAGAAATTGCTTTTAATGATATTCCTCATGATCGTACTTTGGCCGTTAAAATATGTAAAGGATTTAGACCAAAAATTTCTGAAGATACACCAAAATTAATTGCTGATTTGATTATCAAATGTTGGGATGCTAAAGCAGAAAATAGACCAACTGCTAAAGAATTACTTCGAATATTAGGAAAATATTCCGATGAACTTAGCGAAGATGATAGCGAAATTTATTCTCAAATAAGAGAGTGTGAAAAAATTAAAGAGAATAAATTAAAAAACAGAACAAATGAAAATAAACCTAAAAATTTTCAAATACACCCACAAGCAATTTATAACAGCAGACTTTTAAATTTCGAAAATCTTCCAGAACCAGTTAATTCAACTGATTATTTATCTTCATTTCAAGGTAATTTAACGTTTAAAAAGTTTAATATGGATATATAATTTATAATTCATTTATTCATTTATTTTTTAATAGAGCCCGTTTCATCAACATCAGTAAATCCAAGTAAGTATATACTTCGCATTATTAAAGTTATTTTGATTATTATAATAATATTTATTTTCAAATTGTTAATAGTTTCTGAACGCTTGGATTGTGAATTGAATGATTTAGGCAAGATATTTGAGTTTAAATATATGAAATTTTATGTTATTATAATTAATCATTATATTATTTTTTAAATAGATCTCAATCAAAACGATGATGAATGAATTTTACAGTAAATTAGTGTATTTCAAAATTTTTGGTAGTCATTTTTTATAATTTTTTTTTTTGATTTTCATCCACTATATATATATTATATTAGTCACAGGACTGAATGATTGGATGAAAATGGGCCACGTAATTTTCACCAATCAATGAAGGGCCCTGTAACCGATATAGCCCCACATTTAATAAAAGTGTTATCGTTCTGACGTTTTTGATAATGCATTTAATAATTATAACATCATAAATAAGCTTTATTTAACTTTCTATAAATTTCATATTATGCTATTTTTAATCCACTTTATAAGCTTTATTTAAACTTTTCCTATAAAATTTCATTTACACCATATTTTTTTACTCCACTTTATTATATCAATGCTATACCTAATAAGACAAATTATTATTATCTTAACAAATTTTCTTTAGAAAAAAAATGCAAAAAAAAAAATTATAAAATATAAAAATTTAAAAAATCCATTATACAATATAACGAACGAAAGTTGTAAATCATACGATTTTATTGGATCAAGTAAATACAGAATAAATACACCTAGTGCTTCGATCCGGATGAAATCCGTCATCCGGATTGAATAACAATTTATTGCGGATGAAAACTGTTATTAAACGAAAATCCGGATAAGAAAAATATTTCAAAAAATCCAGTCCTACCATTAAATACGCCTCAATTGTTAAATTCTGATTATTGGTTTCGGAAATATTTTAAGTTATCCGAAAACTGGCAATCCGGATGGATCCGACGAAATCCGGTTCAAACCGCGGATTTCATCCGGATTTTTGATTTAATCCGGATCAATCCGGATCAATCCGTACACGGATCGAAGCACTAAATACACCATCGTATCATCTATCTTACCTATTTTGTTCTTTATAATGAAACGAATTGTTTGTTATGTATCATACATGAAAATATTTTTTTTAGTTGTTTACTCGGTTTAATATTCTTTGACTACATTTTTATATATATCAAATTCTGTCCTATACTTAAAGTGGTAGATCAGCTCCCCTTAAATTATGATTTTTAAAATTTTTTGTGGAATTAAAAATATTTCGCATTTTAGAACATTCGATGCCTAATTTATTTAACCAAAAAAAATATTCTACACAAAAAATAATATCCTGAATATCATTTTTCCTGTTACGGAAATAAACATCAAATCATTACCAATTGATTGAAAAAAATCAAGTATTAAATCTAATTGTTAAAAACAGAATTGTATTTAAAATGATGGATGTTATTGATTAAACAGCACTTTCTTTGGCTAAATAATAATACCGAGATTTTAAAAAATTTATAATGGAATAATAGTAAAAAAAAAAATTACTGTAGTATTATAATTACAATAGAAATATACAAAACTTTCAATTTTATTACAGTTACTAAAGAATCATAGGAAAAATTGATTTGAAAAATCATAACATTTATTATTTTAAGATTATTAGCAACTAATAGTCATAAAATATTTCCATTATATTTATTGATAAAAAATACGCTGTTTAAACATTGGTCTAACTGATCTAACTAGCTGAAGGCAATATTGCTGTAATGACGTAGATCAACTTTGCATTTTATACTAGATAGATGTACACCTTGACACATTAGAAAACTGTTGAATATCCTAAAACCAAATTTTCTGAGGATATTCTTGAAAAAATCCAAAAGATTATTATCTCTTTGTGAAATTATAATGACTATGGTTTATATCGTAATGATGATATTCAATATTTCAATCCCAGAAAAAGTATGAATTCATAAAGATATGACACCTCAAAACAAATGGAAGAACATAAAGCTCAACAAAAGTGCACACAAACGTAGAAGTCAAAATTATGTCTATACATTTTTTAAGATTATCTTCAATAAAGCTAACATTAATACATTCTTTATGTAAATTGTACACTTTGTATCTAACAAATACAATGTTAAAGTATAAACATTTATTTAACTCTTAACCGGATGATCAAAATATATTATAGGTAAGGAATATAATTATCAGTTCTCTTAATGTGAGTAGTCATTCATTACTATCAAACGAGTAATTACCTGCTTCTTTTATATATTCCAATTTCTGACATTCACCCAATCCCAAAATTTCAATAATCCGAAATTCATAATCCTGTTCATTATCTCATAATTTGGATCATTCAATGTAAAATGGTTCGTTTATTACGCAAATAACATACTGCCATTAAGTGAGATGAATTGATTATTGATTACTTATAATAAAATTTTTCAGCACTAAAGTTCTGTATTAGTAAATACGGTACTATAATTACTAATTAAAATAAATAAAATAAATACTCCAATAACTCATATACTGTTAGACAATATATATATAAGTTCCATTGTTGTGATTTGGTTTTCAATTACTTAATCAAATCAGATAATTATTTGAGCATGACTATTATTGGTTAATGAGATTTGGGAATATAAAAATTTTAGGATGATAAACCTCAGGATTATGAATCCTTAATCATTTACTAATTGACATTCCTAACCAATATACTGTCGGCTAAAATTTTTTAGTATAAAATGTCACTTTATTATTACTAATTATAGATGGGCTTTAACTTCATAAACAGCCTTTAGTATTTGATTTACGTTATAAAAAAAAATAAATAAATGTGACCTAATTTTGAGATAAAATTAGAAAGTTGGTACTTATAGCATGTCAGTTACTTACAATATATCAGATGAAATTATCTGAACTTTTAATGTAAGCTAGTTAGCTAAATGCATTTGCCTCCAGCAATACAGTATAAATAATATACTCAAAATTTTAAAAGAAAATCTATCAAGGCCAACATGATGTAATTAATTATTAAACACAGTTTTTTCCTACTCCAGGTTTCCGTTGAATATTTGCGATTGAATCATTCAAGAGTAATTCAAATTAATATTGACAACATTATTTAAACATTATTGAGAAAATAAAAAGAATTATAATTTACCTTAATTAAGTAAAATTACACAATTTGAAGTTCCATTAATCTATCTTTAGCATTTTGATAATCTTGTTCGGCAGATTTTTTATACCAGTAAATTGCCTGATTCATGTCTTTTTTAATTCCATATCCATCTTCAAACATAGCAGCAAGATTATATTGAGCAGAAGAATTTCCTAAATTTGCTGCCTGTTGAAATAAATCAAATGCCTTTTGCATATCAATATTATCAGTTCCAATTCCAGTAATATAACAACATCCTAACGCATCTATTGCATATAAATTTTCTAAATCTTCTGCTTTTTGATATAATTCAAATGCTTTTTCTTCATCAATTTCGATTCCAACTCCATTTTCATAACAAGCTCCTAAATCGTATATTCCACATGAATGACCTAAATCTGCCGATTTTTGAAATGATTCAAATGCTTTTTGTTCATTAATGATACTAGTTCCTATTTCGTATATACAACAACATCCTAACTTCCATAATCCAAAAGAATTTCCCAAATATGCAGCTTTTTGAAATAAGTTAAATGCCTTTTTCTCATTCTTTTCAGTTCCAATTCCATTTTCATGACAACAACCTAACATAACTATACTAAATGGAATTTCTCTTTCTGCTAATTTTTTATATATTTCAAAAGCTTCAATTAATTTATTTTTATCATTATCATCATATAAATACCTATTGGCAACATCAAGTTGGGCTAAAATATTTTCTAATTTTGCTGCTTTTTGAAATAATTCAAGTGACTTTTTCATATTAATATTAATTCCAATTCCATAATAATTAAGATATCCAAGTAAATAAATAGAATTTGAATTATCTTGATTATTTAAAAGCCAATTATAAATTTTTTGTAAATTTATCTGATAATTATTAATATTATCTAAAAAACATTGCTTAATTACCATTATTTCTTTCCCTTCATTTACTGCTTTAAACATAAGATTAGTTAATTCATCAATTAAAATACTTAAATCATTATATGAATCAATGTTTTGTGTTATAGGTTCTATTTCTTTTATGTTTATTCTATCAAAATTTTGAATAATTTGAGATATTTCTTCACATGATAAATTGGTATTTGATGTGTAAATATTATCAGAACTAATTTGCTGATAATCTTCTGCTGTTATTGTATTTAAAATTTGTGACTTGATTCATAGTTGGTCCCGATCTTTGATAATAGTGATCGTTACTAGGCTTTAATGCAAATGTGTAAAAAAAAAAGTATATTTCCGTCCAATAAGCGTTTAATGTTAAAAGAAAATAATATATAATACTGTACCGGTTTACGAACAATTGTTTCATAAGTTTTATGTATTAATAAAAAAATAAATCACATAGTCGTCGTACCGAATTCTTATTGTATATATTGCTGAAAAAATTTCTGCGCCCAAAAATGCTCACATTCCGCAGTTTTCTATTAACCGCAAGATTTGCAGATCTTATAATAATAATATTATTGCGCCTGTGAGCAGAATCTGCGGCTAATAAAAGCAAGATGCAATATTTGCTTCTTTTTTGTATTCCTAATTATTAATAATTATTATTTAAACATTTACAATACTATATATTTAATATTATTGCGGATTGCAAAATTCTATAATCGATAAAAATAATCGATAAAAATACCAAATAGTATATCTCCTATTAATTAATGTATTAGTAAAAAGTTGATTAGATAATCCGCATATTTCATTTGCTACTATTTGTTTTCCTCAAAACTTTTTTTATATTATTAGAATATCTATTGCAAACTCTCTTTTTAATATTAGTACGATTTAATCTTTTAATCTGCAATGATATTTTAAATACTTTTACTAATTTTCGAAATATTCATCATTATAATAACTTTATAAAATGGAAGTAACTTAAATATGTAAATATATAAATAGGAAATAGGAAATTAAACTTAATTAAATTTGAACTACAGTATTAAATGTAAATAGAACAAATTATATATGACTTGAAAATAAGTATATGAAATTTTTCATTTAATACTGACAAAATATAATAAATTAGAAAACTTTTTAATTAAAATTTCAGATCAAATCAAATTTTTTATAATTTAAAAAATGGGAGAGTTCTACCTAAAAAAGGAAATTTATCATTTACATATGTTATTATAAAATAAAACAAGAGAAAAAAATTCTAAATTAAGGTTCATCAAGTAATATCAATTAAGGAAGATCTGCATTTAATGACGAATAATATTTAACGTAACGGCACAATTTTTTTTTAAAAAATTCGAATTACTTTATTTTAAAAAAATAATTTTTTTCCCAATATTCGCTAAATTATAAGTGTTATATTTCACTTAGAAAAAATTAATAAAATGAATATTTCAAATCAAAATTTAGATACAACTGAGATTACATTAAGAAATAATTCTAAAACTGATGCTAAAAATTTATGGAAAGAAATTGATAATGATGATGAAGAATATCAGGTAAAAATATTATAATATAATAAACAATATATATATTTATTAAAATTTTTTAATCTTTCATTTTGATAGTACCACGCTACAATTTTTTCAACTGATTCAACTACTGAATCAGATGAAACTATTTCCTATCTTAAAAAAGTAAATATTATGGATTTAGAAAAAAGAAAAGAAATATACGGAGTATGTGGAGAATGTAATGAACCAGGTACAGGTTATCGTTGGTGTCGACCTTGTAATGCTAATAGATTTAAAGAAAATTTTAAAAATTGGACTAGTGGAAAAAAAAATATTGATGAATTAATACAACAATCGCAACTTAATGCTTTTATTGGCCCAAAATGTCTTGAATGGATACCTTTTGAAAAATTTGAAAATGTTACCTATCTTACTAGAGGTGGTTTTAGTAAAATTTATTCGGCTGACTGGCCCGAAGGAAGTATTTGGAATTGGGATATTGAAAATCAAGAATGGGAACGAATTTCAAGAAAAGTTGCATTGAAAAGTTTAAATAATTCATCTAACAATATAAGTAATGATTTTTTAAATGAGGTAATTAAAATAAATATTGCTTATTAATATTTGTATTTTAATACATAATTTATTGACAAAATTTCTCTTTTTAATGATGTTAGATTAAATATTATATTTCAGGTCATTTTCATGCTAGTAATACTGTTATTTGTTTTGGAATAACTCAAGATCCAAATACTAAAGATTATATGATGGTTTTAGATTATCATGAGGGAGGAAATTTGAGAAATACTTTAGTGAAAGGTTTAGATTATAAAATCAAAATAAGATATTTATTTCAGATTATAGATGGACTTTCAGGTATTCATGATGCAGGAAATATTCATAAAGATTTTCATTCGGGCAATATATTATATGATAATAAATATGATATATTATCAATTAGTGATTTAGGAATGTGTCAACCAGTAAATAATGAAGAGCAATCAGTTAAAAAAGGAATTTATGGAGTATTATCTTATATGGCACCAGAAGTTTTACATGGATATCAATATACAAAAGCAGCAGATATTTACTCATTTGGAATAATAATGAATGAATTTATGTCAGAAGAAATTACTTATAATGATATTTCTCATGATAATAATTTGGCTGTTAAAATATGCAAAGGATTTAGACCAAAAATTTCTGAAGATACACCGAAATTAATTGCAGATTTGATTATTAAATGTTGGGATGCTAAGGCAGAAAATAGACCAACTGCTAAAGAATTACGTCAAATAATCTTTAAGTATGATAAAGAAAAGGAAGATGAAAACAGTGAAATTAGTTATCAAATAAAAGAATGTGAAAAAATTAAAAAGAATAAATTAAAAAACAGAAAAAATAAAAATAAATCTAAAAATCATCAAACACACCCACAAGCAATTTATACTAGCAGACTTTTAAATTTTGAAAATCTTCCAGAACCAGTTAATTCAACCGATTATTTATCTTCATTTCAAGGTAAATATACCGACTTTTAGAAAATTAATATGAAAATATAATTTATTGATTTTTTTATTTTTTTAATAGAAACTATTTCATCGTCATCAGCAAATTCAAGTAAGTATATATTTTGCATTATTAAAGATTATTGTGATTATTATAATAATATTTATTTTCATTTTATTAATAGTTTCTGAATGTTTGGATTGCGAATTAAATGAATTAGGTAAGACATCTGTTTTTTAAATATATGAAATTATTAATTTAATTTAATTATTATTTTTTTAAAAAAATAGATCTCAATCAAGACGATAATGAATAAATTTTAAGAAGTAAATTTATTTATCGCTCATAGCGATGCATCACTCTGGGTAAACTACGTAATGCCAGCCAAAATAGAGAGGTGGCGATGACATCGCACGCGTGATGAATAAATTATTTCAATTTTAAATTAGTATATTGAAAAAACTTTAGTAGTTTCTTTTTATTATATATTATTCCATTTTCTTATATAAATTCTTTTTGATTTCAGTACTTTATTATTATATTATCTTAGCAAATTTCTTTATTTTTTATTATACAATGTCTTTATTTGATCAAAGAAAAATAAAATCTAAACTATAAAATAAATACATCACCATGCTGTATACTATTTTATTCCCTAAAAATTTTTAGTTGCCTATATTATTTTAATATTCTTTGAGACTTTGACTAAATTTTTAAATATCAAATTCGTATTGTATATAGCATGATTTAATTAATTATTGGCGAAATAGAAGATTACGTGACTCCAAGTTGTATTGAATATTGGTTCTGTTTTTTGTGTGAAATGACTGAAACATGCATAAATTATCAACAGAAGTAAAAAAAACAATATTCTGTTGTTATTTATCAAGAAAAAGTCAGAAAATATAAATTTACTTCTCATTATTTTAAAAATAATTAAAGAAAGTGATTTTTTTTTATGTTCTTAAAACTTTAATTGTCATATGATCGATATTCGATAGAGCTGATCCAAAAAAAAAAGAAAAAAAATAGATAATTGTAACCAAAACGCATAAAATTTTACTGAAAATTCTTAAATCTTTTTTTTTCCCTTAATTTTCCACATAGACAAGTCTGTCTATAGAAATTATTATGAGATTGATCTTTTTTATCCAAATATTAATGTAATTATAAGTAAAAAAAGTTGTAAAACGTATGAAACTAATTTATAATTTGAAATTTTATGTTATTTGATAAAATTTATTCAGCTAACTAAGCTGAAGGAAATATTAAATTTTGGGATTTTAAAAATCAAAATTTGGCGAAATTAAAAAGACTAAATAGTTCATCTAATACTGGGAATATATTAAGTAATGTTTACCATCAGGCTTATATTACCAACTTGGGATTATGTCAACCGGCAAATGTCAAATCCTCTCAAATGATGATGATAAAAAAATATTTGGTGTAGCTCCAGAAGTTTTAAGAGGGGGAGAATATACTCAAGTAAGTGATATTTATGGATTTGGAATTATTGTGCATGAAATTTGTACATGATTGCCTCCTTATCATGATATAGCTCATGATGAATTCTTAGCTATAAAATTTGTCATATAAAATCTCTTAATTGGTTGTTGACGTAATTAATCAATGTTAGTAAAGTCGATAAATTACGGAAGTTATTTTATGATTTATGGAGAACTATTAGTAAAAATAAAGTGGATTCCGTAATTTATGACAAATTAAAGAAGCAGATGATAATAATAATAAGTTATCTTTTCGTCACCTTTAATATCTACTAGTAATCTCTTATATACAACACATCCTCAAGCAGTTTATACAAGTAGACTTAGATTTTGAAAATCTTCCAGAACCAAAAAATGCTGATAATGATGATTTAGAATATTCAGGTAACTTTAATTCAAAATAATTATTCTAATCTATTTAGAGTAATAATTATTCTTCTATTTTACAGATTCCTTAAGAATGGATTTTATTAAATTTGACATTAATTCTAAAGGTAATTTCTTTTGCATGTGATTTTTTGGTCTATTAAATTTTAAACTTATATTATTATTAGATGAAAGAAATTAAAATACACATTTAACATTAAATGAAAATATAAAAAAAAACACATTATCAAATATAATTTTATTTTGAACTTGAGGATAGTCTTTAATGTTATTCTGGAACATTTGATGGAAATATAGTAAGGCTCATATTTATCAATTATTCATATCTAAAAAATTGAAGATTAGTATTGTAATAAAATTGATTTTTTATTAATAGATTTGATCACATTAAATTATCTAAAATTAATAATAAATAAATCATTAATATTTCAATTGTATTAATAAGTATCATGGTTGATAAGAAGTTTAATATAAAAATTACTTTTCAGTAATGAAGAGCAATAATATTAATTTTATGGGTTGATATAATGACTTTAACGTTTAACTACAATTTTACAATTTTAATTGTTTATAATTTTCACGAAATGTTTATATTTTTTATTATTTCGTATAACAAAGTCAAGAAATATTCGGCAAATAAAAATGATAGTGGGAATTTTTAGAAGATATAAAGTAATGATAATAGCTCTTTCACTATTCACCATTCCCAAAGTAATTTATTATTGAATAGGAAAAAATAGGAATTTATTCTATGTTATGATGAATTGTTTTTTTTCTTCTGCAAAAAAGTATTATAGGATTTTTGTTGGAAAATGGATTTATTCTATATCTGGTATAGATAAATTAAGCGTATTATATTCTTTAATAAAAATCCGTGAAATAAATTTTTGTATTTTATGAATTTTTATTTAAAATAAATGTAGCTAACTACTCATCCTATTTTATTTTTATTATTTAATAGAAAAAAAAAAAAAGAAATTGAATTTTACGATAACGATAATGTGAAGCCGTCGAGGTCATGTGTACGTTTTGATGGCCAAGATTATTGAAATTTTGATTGGTTCTTTTTTTACAATACTAACTAAATAAAGTATAATAAAAGAATTTTTTTTAAAAAAAAAGATTATCCGATCTTATCCGCAAGTTGGTTATAAACATTAACACAAAATTCTAAATTAAGGTATATCAATGAGATTTTTTTTTTATTAGTATTATTAAAATTTTACAATTGAGTATATTCGCTAAATTAATTCCATCATTTTCTGCACAATCTATTTCCTCTAAAGTATCACAACCACTCACATTTAGTTCTCTAAGAATTAATATTGCCATTAATATTCAACAATTGAATATTGCCAGTACAGTATATTTCTTTAAATTTTTCAGATTCTTTGCATGAATTTTTGTTATAGTTTGATTCATTTTTGCTTCGCTTATTTGCGCTTTTTGCCATGTTTCATTTTTGAAGTAACATTACCAACGGGTTTACCAATTATGAAAAATAAAAAATAACCCATGAAAAAAATTCCTATAGAAGAAACAAAAATTCTCCCTGAAGAAAAAAATGAAAGTATCCAACCCACCGATCGAAGAACAGTACCCCACAAAAGATGAAAATCCTCTCCTAATATTAATCACCGGAGGAGCAGCATCTGGAAAAACTACTTTTACTCAACAATTAAGAGAATATTTAGAGCAAAATCAGCAAAAAGCTTTAATTCTTCCCTTTGATAATTACTACGCTTACAGTCCCCTCCTTTTCCAGTCCCGCAACCCCATTTTACATGAAATATTTCTGTGGGAAGAATTAAATAAAGATTTAGAAGCCCTTTTAGCCGGGAAAAGTATCTATTTGCCTATTTATGAAAACTCAAGAGAAAGAAAATTCGCTCGTTCAATAACTTTAATTAATAGTTCTCCAATAATTATAATAGAAGGAATGCTATCCTTTTTCAATAAAGAAATAAGAGAAAAATCTCCCTTAAAAATTTATTTAGAAGTATCAGAAAAAACAAGACTAGAAAGAAGATTAGCCAGATACAAAAAAGGTTTAGAGGAAGGAAAATTCACTAAACCAGTTGAATATGAAATAGAAAGATTTTATAAAGGTAAACCAAAAGAAAATCAAGAAACTTATGTGGAGCCAGTTAAAACATATGCTGATTTAGTGATTAATTATGATATTTATGAGAGGAAGGTGGAAAAAGTTATTGGAGAGATAAGGGAAAAATTGAAATAAAAAGAAAAAGATTAGAATGAATATTCAAAAGACAAAATCGACCTTCAATCACTCTTTCGGATGAAAGAAATTACAAAAAAAATTCTCTTCATAATGTGGAAGATGAGTTAGATGAAATGGCCGCCATCCAAGCTGTTGAAGTTAGAAATAAACTATCCTGAAAAACTCTTCAAAAAATCTTAAACCAGCAAAGGTACCTAAGTTCGTAATCCACGGGATACTTTTCGCCTAGCCACTCAATGAGGATACATTGATGACCCCAACCTTGATTTGATTTTAGGAGAGAGAGAAATTTGGCCACCCATACTTATAGGGAAGAAATTTTAAATGAAATATATAAGATATAATATCTTTCCTAAATTTATCCAAGAATTTGATAACTTAATTAATAATTTATGTGAGAAACTAAAATAGCATGTTGCAAATAGAAGTCAAACTTTACAGCAAATTTTTTCTAAATACCCCTATAATTTTACGCTTACAGCTCACGGGTAAAAGGCAAAGCTTGAAAATTCTCTGGTCTTGATGTCTGTTAATTAGATGATATTCCTCGCCCAGTTGTTAATATAAATATTAAGGAAGAACTAGAATAAAGCGACCTACCCTTTTTTGTTGAATTATTATTAATGTGAAAAGATATGAGATCTTTATGCCTATTTCTACTATTTTCCTCCAATTAAGGTCTCATCACTTCTACACTGTTTTCTAACATAACTTTAAATTCAGGGAGGTCTTAAACGATATAAAGCAAATCAAGCTGATTTTTTGGATAGTTTTGATTTCCTTAGCTAATTTATAAGAGGAAAAGCCCTTTTTGTGGGTTGAAAGAATATACAAGGCTAAATAAAAATCACTTTTGTAAAAATATATTTGAGTTTCTAAATATGGTGTCAAACTTGACAGTGAAGTATTTGTTAGTGTTTCTACATTTGTATCTGTTGTTCATACATTTATAGATTATGGAGGTTGGGTCAAAGTGAGAAATGACTTTTCCTCTTCATCTCCTTTTTTCAAAGTAATCAATACAATCTTGTTCGAATGGGTTAAGATTTTAAGATTCAAAGAAAAAAGACAAAATCATCATATGATTTGTATCTAAAATAACTACATTGCTAAAATGATTTTATATCACTATAATTATGATAAATTTAATAAATTTAATTATTATTTTTGCATAATTTATTATATGGTTTAAGACCATTAATCCCAATGTGAAGCAACAACAAATGACTAATTTTTTTTAAATGACATGCAAGTTGATCTCTCTTTCTATAAAAATATCCATTCTTCTAATAATTTTCTTTGTTGTTTAAATTATTTATTTATTAATTATCTCAAAAAAAAAAAATTTCAAATGTTACATAAAAATAATTGAAGCAGTCATTATAATATGACTGTAATTTTTTAAATTGAATAATTTATTTTAATAGTATTTAAAAAATAGAAATAAATTTTTTAAAAAAAATTTTTAGTATATAATTAATCTATACATTTCCAATTCATTAAATGACTCCTTACTTCAGAAAATCAGAAAAAATACGCCATATATTAAAATATTTTTATAGTACGTCCCAATATTTGGCGTAAATTGTTAGATCAGCATATTACAAGTGTTATTATGTATTTCTTTTATGCTAAATAGTTAATTCTTATTTCAGCCAGTTATATAACGGTCACAAGGTCCTTCATTGATTGGTGAAAATGGGTCACGTAGTGGCCCATTTTCATCCAATCATTCGGTCCTGTGACCGATATAGCATCACTCATCATTTCTTGAGTATGACAGCATGCGCCATACCCACATCAGGATCATCGTCGTGTTACCTTGTTTGATGTTATACTTTGTGTAACAATCCTGGAAGTTAAATCGACCCTGAATTTTTTACCTATCGTACAAGTTCCTGCGCCAATATGCATTTGTGTTTTCCGAAAATGTATTTTTTCAAAAGAATTATTAATTAAATTTTCATTTTGAACTTGTTAGAATCAAGTAAACCCTTACTTAAACTAGATTTTGAAAGTTCTTATTGACGCTTTTAGTTGTATAAGTTCTTTGTAAAATTATTTAATATGTTTAATATATTTTTCACATGTGTTTATGTCATTGAAATTAATTATTCAATGGTTTGATTTAATTAGAAAAATGTTTGGATTAATATTTTTCGCTATTATTCTGGTTATTATTTATAAATATGCTCTTAAAAAAAATAAAAAACCCGAAGGATTTGAGGATGTTCTTTTATTTCTGGATTACCCGTAGCATGGGCATATTTTCGACAAAGAAATTACGATGAAATTGGAGATTTAATTCACAAACTCTCAGGGGGTCATGATTTTTATTTTGTATGTCTCATAATACACACAACTGTACATATACCGGTACATCCTAAAATTGTATTTAATAATTTTAGAGTTGCATCGGCCAATTTACATATGTAAACATTGCAAGCCCTGAGTATGCTAAAATTTTATTAACTCAATCAGGTATGTAAAATTTTTACAATATAGAATTATAATAAAAATTTATTTAATTAATGAAATTATTTGATAGAGGATGTTGCTCCTAAGACTGAACAGAATCCTACAAGTAATTTATATAAATTTTTTGGAAATGGATTATCATTTTCTAATGGTGACGTAAGTAACTCGACATTGACATTATTATTCGTATTAATTTCCTAAGATAAAATTAAACTATTTTACAGATATGGAGAACTTATAGGAAATTAGCAACCCCAGCGTTCAATAATGCATTATCTCCAGAAATGGTTGGTGAAACTACATTAGATCTTATTTCCTTCATTCAACAAAATTTAAACCGACCAATTGATGTATTCGAAATTATGCAACGTACTACAATTGAAGTGCTTGGAAAATTGGCTTTTGGATATAAATTTGGCGTAAGAGTTTGAAAAATATTTTGTCAATATTTGTCATGTGTTTATTTTTTTTATGTTATTATTAAATATAAATATATATAGTGTTTAGAATCTGAAGAAATTCCTCATATTATAAAAGTTTATAAATACATTACTTCAACTATTGTATCTCCTTTTCGTCGCGTATTTCGATGGATAGAATCTAACAAAAAATTCATGAATGCTATCGAAAAATTTGACGAATTTATTTTTGATATTATAGAAACAAAGAGAAATGAAATTAAGAAAAATCCTCATAAAGGTCATGATTTATTAACAAGTATGTTAGAACTTGGTGAACAGGAAGGAATTAATACTGATGTGAAACAATTAAGAGATGAGATGGTAAACATTTTTGCCGCAGGCCATGATAGTAAGTAGTTAATCTGGATGTAATATGTGTGAAAAGTATTGTTTGTTACTCATCCATCTCATTTTAAATTTTATTTTAGCAACTTCAATGTCATTGAGTGTATCACTTTATTATCTTGCAAAATATCCAGTAAGTGATTTTTTAAAATTATATATATATATTGTATTTTTTTTTCTATTTGATTTAAATATTAATATATATTATAATTTAAAAATAAATAGGAAATGCAAGAAAAGGCACGAGAAGAAGTAATTAGTGTCCTCGGTAATTATCCAAATACAATACCAAATTCGGATCAATTAAAGGTATTAATTCATTATAATCATTCCGTACTCATATTTTTTATATTCAAAAACAAAAATATTATATTTTTAGGAATTGAAATACGTTAGTGCAATAGCTAGAGAATCCTTACGAATCCATCCACCGGTACCAATGATAACTCTTAGAAAATTAAAGGAACCAGTCAAGATTGGTAAACATATTTTGCCAATAAACACCACAGTCATAGTAAATGCTTGGCAAATTCATCATAATCCACAATATTGGGAAAATCCAAAACAATATAATCCTGAAAGATTCCTAAATAACGAAAAAAGACATCCATTTGCTTGGATTCCTTTTTCTGCTGGTCCAAGAAATTGGTATGTATAATAATAATATATACTATAAGTCAATAAGTTAATTAATCGGTTATTTTTTAAAAAAAAATAAAAATTTTAAAAATATTTGGTTTTTTTTTATAGTTTAGGACAAAATTTTTCTTTAATGGAACAAAAAGTTATTATTTCAATGTTATGTAAGTAATTAGAATTTTTATTTATAATAATTATTAAAAATTAATTAATGACATATCTTTTTTTAACATTTTTATTTTTTAAAGTGCTCAAATATAATTGGACCCTTCCTGATAATAGCATTAATAAGGACAAATTGTTATTAGCACCTCAATTTTTACTAAGACCTGTCGATTTAAAACTTATATTTACTGAAAGAATTAATTGACAAAATATATATTATATACAGTTATTTCATTTATTATTTTTTAGTATGTAATAACATTTTTATATTTAAAGTAACTGTAAAAGCATGTGTAAAATAACAAAATAATTTGTTAAAAAATTACGTGTAAAATAAATTAACCAGATATTTATTTCCAGATAACAAAATAATTTTTTTATTAAGATCTATGCGTGACGCTAACCTAAAAAACAATTTTTTTTTTAATTTCTTTCGTACAGAACGTAAAACATTATAGACATATTAGAAATTCCTCTCGATTAATTTAATTTAATTATGTTTCATCATAGTTTATTACGAAAAAGAAATTATTTTCTTAATAAATTTACATTAAAATTTTCAAGGACCAACTTTCATAACTAATGAAATAGTCAAAAGCCTATCTAAAATAATAAATATGAATTTTTTTTGTATAATCTACAGAAAGTATTCATTAAAAAATATTTTAAACTTTCACCTAGGGAATGTTATCAGGTTTCAGTAAACCAGTTTTAATCGAGTTTGAGATTGAAATTGGTTGAACAGAATTTACGGTCATGTGATTTTTACTATTAATATTTAAATCCAAAATTAGTTTTTCAAGCATGTTCGAGACTTTGAGCATAATTTTATATTTCTTAGATTAAGACATGGCAAGTGAAGAAAATACATCTGAGCTAATTATACAAATGACTCATCAAATTTTACACAATCTGCCACTGATCAAGAATCTATTTTATTAGTCATGATATATTCGGAAAGGTATAATACATATAAAAATAGTTTTAAAGCATGTTTTAAAATCTAAGTTTTACAGACAAGTTTGAACTGGATGGAACCTGAACCGAACCACTTGAGTTATTCTATAATACTATGGAATAATGCTCATGACCTGTAATATGTTATTTAATCTAATAAAATTATTAAAAATAAAAAGAGAAATAAATACTAATTAAAATATAAACCAATACCTGTATTAGATGAATTATTGACTTTTTTATGCAGTTTAATTTCTGATTTTCAATATCTCAAAATTTAATATTTCCTTCAGCCCAGTCAGCTAAATAAATTACTAATAACATATTAAAAGTACTCATTCAAGACATTAAGTTTCATACGTTTTACAAATTATTTGCAAAAAAATCGTAAAACATATAAAATCTTTTTTTCCCCTTAATTTCCACAGTCTGTCGGTTTAATAAAAATTTTATAGAAATTACTCTGAGATTGGATCTTTTTTATCCAAGTATTAATGTTATTCTTATAAAATTTAAATCCGTTTAGAGATGCATTTGTTTTTATTCTTAGTTTTAGATCATATTGCAGATCGCCAGTGGAGACACCAATATTTTTTGTCAGTCTAATTTGTTATTATTATTTCTTTATTCATTGTTTATTAACATTTATTATACGTTACTTGTACACCCTAAATTTGCATATATTCGTTCTACACTTTGTTTTACACTCTAAACTATAAATTATTCTGTAATTATCACGAGAATGCGACGAAAAGTGGGGTAGTAATATCTTATTTTCTGGTTAAACTCAAATAAAAATAAAATTAAATAATAGGAAATTAAAGATCGAGATTATTATTATTTTTTTTTTGTACCGAATATTCTAAAGTTTTGGAGTTACGTAATTTTCTATTTCGCCAATAATTGATCAATCAAATTTGCCGTACAATTACTCAAAGAATATTAAAATAATATTAACAACTAAAAAATTTTAGAAAATAAAATAGTATACAACATGATGGTGTATTAATTTTATAGTTTAAATTTTATTTTTCTTTGATCAAATAGTACATTGTATAATAAAAATAAAAAAAGATAATATAATAATAAAAGTACTAAAACCAAAAGGAATTTATATAAGAAATGGAATAATAAATAACAAAAAAAAAAAAATACTAAAAATTTTTGAACAATATACTAATTTAAAATTGAAATAATTTATTCGTCACGCGTGCGATGTCATCGCTACCTTTTGTCGCCCGTGTCAACCTCTCTATTTTGGCTGGCATTACGTAATTTTGCCTGGAGGCGATGCATCGCTATGGGCGATAAATAAATTTATTCCTTAAAATTTATTCATCATCGTCTTGATTGAGATCTATTTTTTTAAAAAAAATAATAATTAAATTAAATTAATAATTTCATATATTTAAAAAAACAATGTCTTACCTAATTCATTTAATTCACAATCCAAACATTCAGAAACTATTAATAAAATGAAAATAAATATTATTGTAAAATCACAATAATCTTTAATTATGCAAATATAAACTTACTTGGATTTGCTGATGACGGTGAAATAGTTTCTATTAAAAAAAATAAAAAAATCAATAAATTATATTTTCACATTAATTTTTTAAACGTCGGTATATTTACCTTGAAATGAAGATAAATAATCGGTTGAATTAACTGGTTCTGGAAGATTTTCAAAATTTAAAAGTCTGCTAGTATAAATTGCTTGTGGGTGTGTTTGAAGATTTTTAGATTTATTTTAATTTATTCTGTTTTTTAATTTATTCTTTTTAATTTTTTCACATTCTTTTATTTGATAACTAATTTCACTGTTTTCATCTTCCTTTTCTTTATCATATTTAAAGATTATTTGACGTAATTCTTTAGCAGTTGGTCTATTTTCTGCCTTAGCATCCCAACATTTAATAATCAAATCTGCAATTAATTTCGGTGTATCTTCAGAAATTTTTGGTCTAAATCCTTTGCATATATTAACAGCCAAATTATTATCATGAGAAATATCATTATAAGTAATTTCTTCTGACATAAATTCATTCATTATTATTCCAAATGAGTAAATATCTGCTGCTTTCGTATATTGATATCCATGTAAAACTTCCGGTGCCATATAAGATAATACTCCATAAATTCCTTTTTTAACTGATTGCTCTTCATTATTTACTGGTTGACACATTCCTAAATCACTAATTGATAGTATATCATAATTATTATCATGTAATATATTGCCCGAATGAAAATCTTTATGAATATTTCCTGCATCATGAATACCTGAAAGTCCATCTATAATACAAAATAAACAACTAATTTTGGTTTTATAATCTAAACCTTTCACTAAAGTATTTCTCAAATTTCCTCCTTCATAATAATCTAAAACCATCATATAATCTTTAGTATCTGGATCTTGAGTTATTCCAAAACACATAACAGTATTAGTAGCATGAAAATGACCTGAAATATAATATTTAATCTAAAATTATTAAAAGAGAAATTTTGTTAATAAATTATGTATTAAAATACAAATATTAATAAGTAAGATTTATTTTATTACCTCATCTAAAAAATCATTACTTATATTATTAGATGAATTATTTAAACTTTTTAATGCAACTTTTCTTGAAATTCGTTCCCATTCTTGATTTTCAATATCCCAATTCCAAATACTTCCTTCGGGCCAGTCAGCCGAATAAATTTTACTAAAACCACCTCTGGTAAGATAGGTAACATTTTCAAATTTTTCAAAAGGTATCCATTCAAGACATTTTGAAGCAAAAAAAGTATTAAGCTGTGATTGCTGTATCAATTCATCAATATTTTTATTTCCACTAGTCCAATTTTTAAAATTATCCTTAAATCTTTTAGCATTACAAGGTTGACACCAAAGATATCCTGTGCCTGGTTCATTACATTCTCCACATACTCCGTATACTTCTTTTCTTTTTTCTAAATCCATAATATTTACTTTTTTAAAAGAGGAAATAGTTTCATCTGATTCAGTAGTTGAATCAGTTGAAAAAATTGTAGCGTGGATCTATCAAAATGAAAGATTAAAAAATTTTAATAAATATCTATATTGTTTATTATATATTATAATATTTTTACCTGATATTCACAATTATCATCATATTTCCATAAATTTTTAGCATTAATTTTAGAATTATTTCTTATTGTAATCTCAGTTGTATCTAAATTTTGGTTTGAAATATCCATTTTATTAATATTTTCTAAGTAAAAATATAACACTTATAATTTAGCGAATATACTCAAATGAAAAAAAATTATTTTTTTAAAAAAAGTAATTCGAATTAAAAAAAAAAAATTGGATGTTACAGTCGTTACATTGAATCTTATTCGTTATTAAATGCAAATCTTCCCTAATTGATATTACATAATTTAGATTTTTGTGTTAATGTTATGACCTCATGATTAAGGGTTTCTTTTTTTTGGTCATTTAAATAAGATTCGGATTTTAAAAGTCTCTGAAAAAAAAAAAAATTTGTTTCTCTGGTTTATTTTAATTTCCTTTTATAATAATACATGTTAAATGATAAAATTTTCCTTTTTTAGGTAGAACTTATATCCTGATAAAATTAACTTTTTTTACTTTATTGATAAAAAAAATATTTAATACTGTAATATACCTTAATCTTTTGATACTGTAAACAGTAATAACTAAAAAATTTATTTCAGCGGTTTTCAAAATTATACTCAATTCTAACTTAATAAAAAAAAATTTTTAAAAAAGTAATTTCATTTTTTTTATAGTACATCACAAGACTTGATTGATAGATCAAAGAAAAGTAAAATTTAAAACATCATCTATTTCACATTTTTTTTTTTCAACCTAAAAATATTTTTTTTTATTTTTGGGTCTGTTAACTCAGTAGCTTCATTTAATTCTTTTAAAAAAAGCTAAATCAAAACTGCGCCATATGTAGTGCTTCGATCCGTAGCGGTTTTATCCAGATTTTCATCCGGATTGAATTTCATTAAATTTCGCTGGCACTATGAGTTTGGCCAGAATTAGTATAAATTTTTGGGATAAGAATACTTTAATGTTGGTTTAAATTATAGTCTGTTTAAATCTGAAATTCAGCCATAATCTTCACATGAAAATATTCAAGTTTTCATCCGGATCGAAGCACTAGCCATATGTACATCAGATGCACTTTTGGCGTAGTTTTTAGGCTTGTAATATTTTTTTTAAAAAAAATTATTAGTGATATTGCATTATGCATGAAGTAATATCTGAATTATTTCCATGTTATGATATAAGCAATGATAAAAGTTTAAAATAAACGATCCATCCTGCAAAATTGATCGGATGAATTTAAAATAAATATATATCAGTATAAAATTAATATTCAATTGATGCAAATAAAAAATAAGTATACTATTATAATAAGTTCACCTCACTGTTAATTCTCACTTGTTATCGTTCATAATAATCGTTAGTTTTTCTTGTTGAGGAAGATTATCAATCTACCTGTATAAATAGCTCCCGAACGTGCTTATGATAAGCCAAAACTATACACAGAAAGTAATTTATTCAGCTCTATTTATTGATTCATTTTAATATTAAACCTTGGTCTAAATCCTAGATGAATTTTAAATTTTTGAATATATATATATATACTGTATATATAGGTCTTTTTCAAATTTCTTTTTTCCATTTTGACATTTTTACAAACAATTGTAAATGATTGAAAATATAATGACATTATATATATAATACGTAATAATTAAGTAATAAAGTAACATTAATTCCATTCAAAATCTTCATTAATATTTACTCTATTATAATCAACGATATATTTTTTAATTATTCCCTTTGCTTTATATTCTTTGGCTAAAACTTCTAATTGTTGATTTATTTTATCGTTAAAATTATTTTTGTTATATAATTTCAATAACATAGGATTTCTATCTTTCCAATTGTTAATAAATATTTTTACATGATCCAAATTAATCTTATAATTAATAAATTCAAACTTAAACAAATTAATTGGTGAAAATTTAATAATTTATCCAAAGTGGTTTGGTCAAACCAACTGTAAAGAGTATTACCAGATAAAATTGAAAGCTACAGTAGTTAATAAAATTTCCAATTCTGAGATAAATAATCCAATCTTGTATGATAATTTGGACAATTTTGACATATTGTTTGTATAATTTTTTTAATTCCATCATCATGATCATAATCATCATAAACTAAACTAATTTCAGAAAGGTTACCATTTGTGTTTTCGATTACTATATTTGTCACTATATTAGGTGAAACTAGTCGGACTTTTAAAATTTTTAAATGAGTAATGATAAATTTAAAATTTCTTCCCCAAAATACGTTAAAAACAATTTCTAACCTTAATAAATTTACAAAATATGAAAGAAATCTCTTAAGTCTCATAGTAAGCATACAATTGTATCTGCATGTTTAATCAATTGATCCTTCAATACAACTTGTAAATTGTCTATGATGATTAATTAATGATTCCAATAAGTAGTCTTAATTTCTTAATTGATTTACATATCTAGAAAATATTACCATTAATATAATTATTACAATGAATGGATTCAAGATTTGAAAAGCAACATTCAAATCCTGAAATATTATGAAATATTTTTAAAATACTAAGATGAATAAAGTTAGTATTTTTATTTATGAATAACTTTAATATCTCGTTCTTATAATAGGTACGTTGGACGTTTCAATCCTACTATCATAAATCATATCTTCTATAAATAGTAAATTTCCAAAAATTAATATAATTAAGTAAAGGACGTGTATATCTATCTGTATAAATAAAATTAGTATTATTTATTTCATGGGGAGTTTGGAATAATAGGGTTTTTTTCCCTTCGGGAAAAAAACCCTAATGTTCCCCTTCCCATGAAATAAACGGGTAATCCCCTGGAGCGTGTCACTCATTAAATATTAACTATTTTAACTATTTTAAACTAAAATTAGTAATTTCCCGGCTATCTATACGAGGCCGGGAAATAACTAAACAAAGATTCCCGGTCATTTATAAACTCAGCTAATCATTCGCAATTTGTATGAAGGTGATCATGAGTGACACTTAGTGCGACAAGGGATTATTGTTAATATCATTAATTCCTTGATTCTTCAAAATATCTCTCTATTCTTCTGATAAATGTAAAAGTATTATATTAAATAATATTTTTTTTGATTTATCGGAATCAAGGTTATAATAACGTAATCCTTTCTTATTAAAATTATAATGAAGATTAGGATTTCTCCATAAAATTGGTACAGCCGTTACATACCAAATTCTGTTAATGAGAAGACATGAATGGAGAGATTTTTTATCTTCTTTTAATTTTTCAAATATTTGAGAAAGACGTCTTCGTTAAGCGACATTTTTTTTTCCCGGGAAAAAAAAATTTCTTTTTTTTATATGTTTGGGTAATTCCTGCCGGGTGATCGTCTTTTCCTACTAAACCTAGATTAAGGTTTATATGGAGTTGTAGCTATATAGGAGTTAATTTATTAATAAAAATAATATGTAGGTTAAGCAAAACAGGTGCTTATAAGGAGGTGTTCTTATATAGAGGGTGATTATATGGAGGTCTAACTTTATCAAGTTCCATCTAAAAAAGGAAATTATAAACATTTACATATTTACATATGTTCACTTGTATTTTTCATATGAAAGGAAAATTAAATAAATTAACGAATTTTTTTTTTTCTGAAACTTAATTTTATTCAATGGAACCAAAAAAAGAAACCTTTAGTCATGAGGGCATAAAAATTATGGTTCAAGGTTCATTATGTAACAATTAGGGAAGATTTACATTCATTATTCAAAGTAACGCCCAATTTTTTTTTTTTTTTTTTTTGCAGTTATAATTACTTTTTTTTTTATAAGATATTTTTTTAATTAACATGAAATAATTCACAATTAAATAAATTCGATAAATACTATAGTAAATAATTAGAAAAATATTACTAATAAAATGGATGATTCAAACCAAAATTTAGATACAACTGAGATTAGTTCTAAAACTCATGTTAAAAATTTATGGAAAGAAGCTAATAATAATGATTATCAGGTAAAAATATTATATTATAATAAACATTTAAATTTATATTAAAACATTTTTTTAATCATTTATTTTAATAGGAACACGCTACAATTTTTTCAGATGATTCAACACAAATTATCAATTCTGCGTCTTTGAATGTAGACTCCACCGATACATTTATGCAGGCTTTAGACAACAAGATTAAAAGTGACAAGGATGATGAGATCGTCAAGAGCTGGCTATTTGAACAACTTGAAACTACGATTAATGATAGCAGCGAAAAAGCCTTGTATCAATACTTATATGACACAATTACTGAATCAGATGAACCTAGTTTCACTCTTAAAAAAGTAAATATTATGGATTTAGAAAAAAGAAAAAAAGTATACGGAATATGTGGAGAATGTAACGAACCAGGTACAGGATGGCGTTGGTGTCAACCTTGTAATGCCAAAAGATTTACGGATAATTTTAAAAATTGGACTAGTGAAAATAAAAATATTGATGAATTAATACAACAATCACAAATTAATTCTTTTCATTTTACGAAATGTCTTGAATGGATACCTTTTGAAAAATTTGAAAATGTTACTTATCTTACCAGGGGTGGTTTCGGTAAAATTTATTCGGCTGATTGGCCTGAAGGACATATTAATTATTGGGATATTGAAAATCAAATATGGAAACTATGTCCAAATGTAAAAGTTGCATTAAAAAGTTTGGACGATTCATCTAATATGAATAATGACTTTTTAAATGAGGTAATTATTTAAATATTGCTTTAAAGTTAATATTCGTGTTTTAATACATATTTATAAACAAAATTTCTCTTTTTAATATTGTTAGATTAAATATTATATTTCGGGTCATTTTTATTGTATTCAAACTGTTATATGTTATGGTATAACTAAAGATCCAGATACTAAAGATTATATGATGGTTTTACCATATTATGGAAGTGGAAGTTTGAGAAATAATTTAACGAATGATTTAGGATATGAAAATAAAATTCAATATTTGTATTGGATTATAGATGGACTTTCAACTATTCATAATGCTGGAAAAGTTCATAAAGATTTTCATTCAGGAAATGTATTAATTGAAAAAGGAATCCCAATAATTAGTGATTTAGGAATGTGTCAACCAGTAGATGATAATGAGCGAAAAGGAGTTTTTGGGGTAATACCTTATATGGCGCCAGAAGTTTTACGCGGATATAAATATACAAAAGCGGCAGATATTTACTCATTTGGAATAATGATGAATGAACTTATGTCAGAAGAAATTCCTCATAATGATATTCCTCATGATCATTTTTTGGTTGTTAAAATATGTAAAGGATTTAGACCAAAAATTTCTGAAAATACACCAAAATTAATTGTAGATTTGATTATTAAATGTTGGGATGCTAAAGCAGAAAATAGACCAACTGCTAAAGAATTGTGTCAAATATTAAGAGAGTATGTAGGTAAAATTACTGGAAAATTTGGCGAAATTTATTCTCAAATAAAAGAATGTGAAGAAATTAAAGAGAATAAATTAAAAAGCAAAACAATTGAAAATAAATCTGAAAATCTTCAAACACACCCACAAGCAATTTATACTAGCAGACTTTTAAATTTTGACAATCTTCCAGAACCGGTAAATTCAACCGATTCTTTATCAGGTAAATTTATGTTTAAAAAAAATATAATTTATTGATTTATTTATTTATTTATTATTTATTTTTGTTTATAGAAACTATTTCATCAACACCAGCAAATCCAAGTAAGTATATATTTTCCTTATTAAAATAATTGCGATTATTATATTAATATTTATTTTGTATTTTATCTATAGTTTCTGAATGCTTTGATTGTGAATTAGATGAATCAGGTGAGACATTTGAATTTAAATATATGAAATTATGTTAATATAATTGATCATTATTTTATTTGTAAATAGATCTCAATCAAGATAATGATGAATGAACCTTATTAGTATATTTGTTTTCAAAATTTTAGTAGTTTCTTTTTTATTATACAGTTTATTACTTCATTTTTTTTCTGTAAATTTTTGATTTCAGCAGTACTTTTATTACATTATTATAACATGTTTTCAATAAAATATAGAATTTTTTATAAACAATCTCATTTTTTTTACATCACAAGACTTTATGGCACCTGCATTCTGTGCAGGTGCGCAGGAAAAAAAAAACCTTAAAATATAGTGTGTTAAGAAAAAAGTTGCGCGATGTAACGTAAAATTGATTAAATAAAAAAATGGTGGAATAATGGATATATTTATAAAATAAATATTATAACACATGTTATTTACTTTCTATTTAATATATTTAAAAAAAAAAATTTATTATACATTTGTTAATTTTCTTTTAATAAACTTAATTCGTAAGTCGTGAGTCGTGACCCACGAGTCAGCTGCAAAGGATCTGCAGAAAATGAGAATCGGCCATTCTGGCGTGGCGTCAAATAAAAGTAAAAATCATGAGAGAAATTTTGAAATTTTGGGATAAATATTATGTATTAAAATATGTCAGAGTTACATGAAGAGCATTACTTAAGGAATGAAACCGGGTATCAGAAAAAGATTACTAATGATCGACATAATTTGCTAGTTTGACTTACGGATCACGAATTAAAAAGTCTAATTAATATTAACAAGTTATCACTTCGATACACATAAATTACGTGTGCATTCCATTCTGGAAATTAATTGCACTGTTCAGATTAATCTAGCATTTTATTATAAAAACATTAATTATTTCGCTAATACAATACTAATTCATAAATTACATAAACTTTAAAAATACATATATGTAATACAATATTATTTCCAATCAATTCTAACTATTCCAATTTAACTATCAGCACTATTAAACGTCCTGTATTTCTGTATTCAATTCATTTAGCAATACAGTTAACCCTCTTCGTCCGAAGGGTGACTTTCTGTCTTATATAAACGTGATTTGACAGCTTTCCTTGGAAGATAGAAAAAAGCTGCTAACAATGTTCCATTGTGTGTGTTTGTTTCTTTATTAAATAACCTTTTGAGTTTCATTCCGTCTTAGTAAACATGTAACCTCAAGTATGCCAACAATTGAAGCACACTTGCAATGTCTGTTTCACGATTTTCAGTGTGAAGCTTAAAATTAGCATTTTTAGTCTTATAAGCGATTAAGTGATTAAAGATCTATTTGCTTCATTATAGATCGCTTACATTGAGCTTAGACAGATGGTTGTTCCGTTCACTAATCCATATGTAAACATATCGAATTCACTTCATCCTCCGTTAGATTATTTGCAACTGCAAGTATTCGGTTGTATTCAAATGCAGTTTCATATATTTTGAGTCCAATCTGCTTCAAATTCGGTTATAAGAAAGGGAAATTGTTGATTGGCTATTGAAGATAACAGCGACAAAGTCGGACTTAGCTGATCCTCTTCCACAGTTACCGAGGATTTTGTGATAGTATTCCCAATTTACATCAATAATTTCTGATCTGATGAGGAATGCGTCCGAAAATATCTTTGCCCACATTTGGGCTTTGATATGATTCTCTGATGATTTGCTCCCTGGGCCTCGGTAAGGAGTTGATGAGTAGTAAAGAACAGATGTAATCGCAGTCAATGATTTTGCTACATCAATGATGAAGTGTTGTTTTGTATGAAATCCAAAAATTTTTGCTAACAATTGTTGTGACCCAGAATTCACGTCATCTACGATTTCTTTTGTTATTTTTTGTGCAGCAGTGAAAGGAAACGTTTTTTATATGAAAAGTTCTATATAAAATTTACATACACTATTTTATATAATTTTAAGGACCCAACATGGATTTTATGTAAATGTGTAAATTATGTCTATGTGATTTTTATTTAAAATTCAATAAATATTATAATATTATAAATTGTAAATTCAGTTTACTTTAGAAAATGTATTTATACAATATAAAATTTTTATATTTAAGAATAAAAATAAATAAGAACGTTTTTTATTTAATTATCAAAAAAAAATGTTGCGAAACGTTTCTTTTTATTAAATTTTCTATTAAAAAACGTTGCGAAACTTTTTTTTATTTAAAAATCATTCTCGCACCGTTTTTTTAATAGTAAATTTTCAAAAAAAAATGTTGCCGAAACTTTTTTTCATATGAGATGGGTTATTAGTTGTTGGGAAAACTAAAACTATCACAAGAAATAAATTTAATTTTACATTATAATTTACGTATTTGCGTTGATTTTCTCAATAATCTAATAAACAAAATAGCATCAAAATTAAATATGACTCAAATTAGAATATTGGTTATTAAGAAATTCAATGTATATGGATAGCTTACGTATTTAAAATAAAGATAAACATTTTTTAAGTATTTTAAAGAATATATTCATATCATTTTTTGAAAAAAAAATAATACCTAGTATAAATCAACATCAAAATTTTAATATTTAAAAAAAGTATATTATGTACTTTTTATAAATAAAATTTCAACCTCCTAGCATTCATAATTATTGAGATATTTAGGTTTTTTATCTGCGCAATTTTTTCTTAACACACTGTATACTGTATATACCGTATTTAACGTTGTACTTTTTAATAAATTTAAAATAAGCCAATAAAAAAGGAATTTTTAATGTTTATAATGATTTTATCACTTTACAATTCATTAAATATTTCCCATTGAAAGCAAAGAAACTAAAGTTCCACTACCACAAAAACAACTAAGATTGTCCACCATTAATTCTTTGGCACTTTTGGCATATCTTTTACCGAAAATTTTGTAGTATTGAGTAGTAATTTTGTAAAATAATTACCGTGGAACCGGTAAAACTCGGGGAGTTTTAATAAAATATCAGTATTAAAGAATTTGTACATACAAAGGTGTAAACATGTAACATTTTATGGTAGTTTCATTTATAGTTATATTTAGAAAAGATCATTTCTGTGATGCTTTTTTTGTGTGAAACATGTTTTTTAATATCTAATATTCGTTTATTTTTTTCTAACAATTAAAGATATTGATTAATCGTTAAATTTATCAAGTTTCATCTAACTGCTAAGATTACTTTATTAATATTTTAAAACGGAGAAAAATCCGAATCTTACCAAAAAAAGAAATCTTTAGTCATGAGGTCATAACAATTAATACCAAAAATTCTAAATTAAGTAAATTAAGTAAATTAAGATATTAAAGGTACATTATATACTGTATGTAATATCAATTAGGGAAGATTTGCATCCAATGACGAGAAGCGTCCAATTTTTTTTTTCTTGGCAGTTGTAATATAAAAATATATATGTATAATTCGAATTACTTTTTTTAAAATTATTTTATTATTAATATTATTAAAAAATTTACAATTGGTGATATTATTACTTAACGAAATGAATACTTCAAAACAAAATTCAGATACAACTGAGACTACAATAACTAAAACTGGTGTTAAAAATTTATGGAAAGAATGTGAAGATGGTGAATATCAGGTAAAAATATTATAATATAATATACAATATAAGTATCTATTGAATTTTTTTTAATCATTCATTTTTCATTTTGATAGTTACATACTACAATATTTTCAACTACTGAATCAGATGAACCTAGTTTCGCTCTTAAAAGAGTAAATATTAAGGATTTAGATAAAAGAAAAGAAGTTTATGGGATATGTGGAGAATGTAATGAACCAGGTACAGGATCACATTGGTGTCGACCTTGTAATGCTAAAAGATTTAAAGAAAATTTTAAAAATTGGACTAGTGGAAATAAAAATATTGATGAATTGATACAACAATCACAACTTAATGCTTTGCATCCTTCAAAACGTCTTGAATGGATACCTTTTGAAAAATTTGAAAATGTTACTTATCTTACCAGAGGTGGTTTTAGTAAAATTTATTCGGCTGACTGGCCCGAAGGAAATATTGAATATTGGGATATAGAAAATCAAAAATGGGTCTATGAATCAAGTATAAAAGTTGCATTAAAAAGTTTAGAGAATTCATCTAATATAAGTAATGATTTTTTAAATGAGGTAATTAAAATAAAATATTGCTTTAATTTACATAATACATATATATTTTTTAATAACTGAATTTCTCTTCTAAATAATCTATATTAGATTAGATATTATATTTCAGATCATTTTTCTTGTTTTAATACCGTCGTATGTTATGGAATAACTCAAAATCCAGATACCCAAAATTATATGATGGTTTTACAATATTATGAGAGTGGAAATTTGAGAAATTATTTAAAGAATGATTTAGAATATGAGTATAAAATTCAATATTTATATTGGATTATAGACGGACTTTTAGCTATTCATGATGCTGGAAAAGTTCATAAAGATTTTCATTCGGGCAATATATTATTTTATAATGAAAATGTCCTAGCAATTAGTGATTTAGGAATGTGTCAACCAGTAGATGATAATGAGCAAAAAGGAGTTTTTGGGGTAATACCTTATATGGCGCCAGAAGTTTTACGCGGATATCAATATACAAAAGCGGCAGATATTTACTCATTTGGCATAATGATGAATGAACTTATGTCAGAAGACATTCCTCATAATGATATTCCTCATGATCATCTTTTGGTTGTTAAAATATGTAAAGGGCTTAGACCGAAAATTTCTGAAGATACACCAAAATTAATTGCAGATTTGATTATTAAATGTTGGAATGCCAAAGCAGAAAATAGACCAACCGCTAAAGAATTACGTCAAATATTGTTTAAATATTTAGATAACATTGATGTCGAAAGTAGCGAAATTTATTGTCAAATAGAAGAATGTGAAAAAATTAAAGAGAATAAATTAAAAAACAGAACAAATGAAAATCAATCTAAAAATCTTCAAACACACCCACGAGCAGTTTATACCAGTAGACTTGTAAATTTTGAAAATCTTCCAGAACCAGTAAATTCAACTGATTAATTTATCTTCATTTCAAGGTAAATTTACGTTTAAAAAATTAATATAAATGTACAATTTATTGATTTATTTTATTTTTAATAGAAACTATTTCATCATCATCAGTAAATCCAAGTAAGTATATATTGTATTATTAAAATAATTGCGATTGTTATATATCAATATTTATTTATTCTATAGTTTCTGAATGCTTGGATTGCGAATTAAATGAATTAGGTAAGATATTTAAGTTTAAATATATGAAATTGATTTAATTTAATTATAATTTTTATTTTTAAATAGATCTCAATCAAGACGATGATAATGATGAATGATTTTATTCTTTTTTATTATACAGTATATTACTTTTTTGATTTACGGTACTTTATTATTATATTACATGAAAATTTTAAAAAAAATTTCATTTCTTATTATATAGTAGTATAACGAGTAGGGATGGCAATGGTTACGGTCATAACCGGTCATGACCGGTTAATAACCGTGACCGATATCGGTCGGTCAAAGGCTCTGACCGACCGGTTAACCGACCGGTTTTGACCGACCGTTTGACTGACCGTTTAACCGACCGTTTAACTGATCGTTAACCGACCATTTAACCAACCCTATTCATTTAACACTTTTTTTATGAGCTGAATCAATAAAAAAAGTTGTATAATGCTTTTGTTAGCGGATTTAATCAAAAAAAAAAAAACTTTTTAACGTTTTTTCTTAATTAAATTCACTAAAAAAACGGTCAAACGGTCGGTTAAACGGTCAGAAAAACGGTCAGCAAAAACGGTCGGTCGGTCAAAGACCCATAACCGGTTATGATCGACCGATAACCGACCGTGACTGACCGTTGCCATCCCTAATAATGAGTAGAATTATAAAATATAATACATCAAAATTTTTTTTAAAAAATAAAATCTTTCTGGTCAATGTAAAATTACTATAAATCTATAAATCTACAGTAACGCACAAAGTTTTATGTTGAAAAAAATATTTCTTAACAGCAACATTTAAATGAGGTAAATAGATAAACTGTACTGTACGAAAATATTTTAGCCAATCATAACTCATTGTATACTTTTCAAATTTTTATTTATCGTACAATAAAATCTGATTGGTGAGTTCTCACTTCGTANATTTTAGCCAATCATAACTCATTGTATACTTTTCAAATTTTTATTTATCGTACAATAAAATCTGATTGGTGAGTTCTCACTTCGTACAGTACAGTTTAGCTAACCGTACAGTACAGTTTGTATGTATACTCTTAAAGTTTTTTTCTTCTCATCATACAATTTTATCAACGCAAAAATCTAAACAACCTTTTTAAATAAATCACTTTTACTGTTTTTACAAATTTTATACACTTTATTGTCTTACTATGTCTTTATCAAATCAAATATCATTTCTGCAACGAAATTTCACTAAGCCCAATATGTGGTAAAAGTTGCTTTCTCGAGTTAGATGATTTTGACCTAAAAACTTTATACCAAACGAAAATAAGATAGACACTTTCCTTTTTTTTCGTATAAATACACAAAATAATAAGTACAATATCAGTACGTTTCTCTCTCACTTTTTTAAACTTCAAGAAGTAATACCGATCGTATACAAAATAAATACTTTCAAACGTGTTACTATTATAGAAAATCGTTCAACATCTTTCGAAAAAAATAAATAATCAAGAACTTTTTAACTTCTCGTATAAAAAATACAGATTCTCTATGCACTATACTCGTAAATCGATCTTCACAACATTTGTTGTTATGCTCCGTCTAGGGTTTTAATTGACTCAAAAAGTTTACCTCCGATGAATTGATCGATCAAAAATCGATCAACCTTGATTGATCACGTGCAATCGATTTCTCAATCGATTTTATAGCTCGATCAAAGGATATTCTATCGATCATTGATTGATTGATTTTATTATTATTATTACAATGTTAAACTTTCAAACAATTAATGCTAATTACATAATATTCGTATCGATCGTGTGGGTAAATTGGCAAAAATTAATTCAATTGTGTGATCGATTGATTCGATCAATGATCGATCTTACTCGATTTGATTAAGAGTTCTAACTCCGTCACTAGTAAGTGGTGCGGCGACTGTTAAACGACGTCATACCATACATCCAACAAGACCACTTGAAACTTTGAATCAGGTCAACAAATAAACTTCATCTTCACAATATCAATAAGTGCTTAAAACAGATAAAGTTCAGAGCGATGAGTTCCTCTCTTTTCTAACGTCAAATCATTAAACACTAATTAACTTACATTCCATAACACCCTATACCTGACAGTAGGGACTAGTGGAGTAAGTGGACCTACGTCAAAAAAGCCTACAAAGTGAAGTAACTCAACAAAGTTACTGCCGAAGGTGGCCGATTTTGGCAGTTCAAGCAACAAATACTAATCACGCCAGTCAACTTACATTCTACACCACAATAAACATAAATCACTTTCACATCCTAAACAAGGAGCTAAGTTCATTTTGACCATGATTATCTTCCAGAAGATTGAGGTTCAGAGGACTTAGATACCCCTATAAAAATTTTTTCAGAAAAATGATCACGTGACTGAGTTTCTTCGGAATAAAAAACTAGAAAAATGATCATTTATCGGAGTTTTTTCCAGAATTTTTTATAGGGTACGCCCAAAGACGCTCAAATATTAAAAACTTTAACTTAAAAACGCTAACAATCCATATAAAAAAGAATGTCCGGAAATTGTCGTCAAAAATGTCCGGTAAATGAAAAATGTCCGGCAATTGCAATATTTCGGACACTTTCGGGACACCGGACCCGGCGGACTAGACATTTTCTAGACATTTTCCGGAAATTCACAATGTCTCGGCGTCCGGAATATTGCAATTTTCCAGACATTTTCCGGACGCTCGGACATTTTCTGGACATTTTAGGGCAAGATCTTATCCATTTTTTACTCCGATCCACCCTCCTCAAGATGATCAATAATCACACGACAGACCGGTACTAAGTCTTATTGGCGTGACTTTAGTACGTCCTTAACTCTTTTTTTTTCGTTCTATTTTTTTCTTTTGAAAATCTACAACTTATCCGTTTTTCACTTTACAGCAAAGTAAAAATACTATAAATTTTTTTTTTCTTCTTGAGCAAAAGATTAAAATTCATCGAATAATAACTTAAGGATAGTATAATATTTTTTTTTTTTTTTTTTTTTTTAAAAAAAAAAAAGGCGTCTGAAATATTAATGCGGCATTATATATTTGTTTTTTTTAAAATTTTATATAATGTATTTCTTTTTGCCCTTTTCATGCACGTAGCTGGGCAGCTGTCGATCGGCAGCTTGTCACAGTTCTTTCATAAAATTATACAAGTAGATTGTATCATATGAGGTGAAATGTTTGTAATATACATAAATTTTAATTGTAATGCATTCTCTTAGTTATTTAGTTCGTTAATATTTTGATCCCACCGCTCTTAACTTTTTGTCTGCCGCTGATCTCAACTAATCTCTACCTTAAATTTACATTCCAACCCCTTCTTAAAATAACTTGTGCGGGCACTCACGTGCTGGTTCCCCTTATATTTTAAAGTGCCTTCTTTGCCGGTTGGATTTCAAAAAAAAAAATGGATTATATTGGTTAAGCTGAAATCTTCTTTGCAAACTTGGTCTTGAATTATATCCGAATTACCTAAATATTTTTCAGCTAGCTGAACTTTACCAATATTTTGCCGAAATTCTGGCGGTTTTCTTTTTTTTAATTGGGAATACTATTGATTATTCTTTTAATTTCCTTTGAATATATTCGCTCTCAGGTTAAAAATAATATATACCCAACAATTAGTACATTAAATTATAAAAATTATAAAAGTAAATTCAATGGATCAGCATCTTGTTTTTTTTCGACCGCGACACCCATATCCGGCCGGGTCAGTTTTTGTTAAACCACGAAAAAAATTTTTATATATTATTACTATATTTGCCGAGAAAATTTAAAAATTAAAAAAAAAAATTTCATATGAATTTACATACGAAAATTTGTAAATTTTTTTAAAATTTGTAATGGTATAAAATTAGTCATAAATTATTATGCCATTTTCAAAATAGATGTCAATCATATAATATAATAAATTATTTTATTATAAATTTTTTAACACTCATAAACCATGACTATAAAATCCACAAGGGTCGTTTTCTATAGGGACAACAATCTTCACCACAAGTAGTCCATAACGCTTCTTCTGGTAATACATCAAAGTTCATATCTAAAAAAAATAAAGAAAAAAAACACCGTTAGTATGGTTGGTACCAGGCGGAAGAAGAAATCATCTAATCAATAACCACCACCATACTCCATAAAAAAAAAGCCTCTGGGAAAGAGATGGTACCATGCTACCCAAGTGGTCCCTACTGTCATGGTCCTTCGGGATACCACTGATGGTTTACGACACCAACAAACGGGAATGAATCAACTTTTTTTATTTTGTAAGCACGTTTCATTAAAACTATGCTGAGCAGGGAGCGCATGCTTACCTAATAAATACTACAATTCAGAACCATCCTTTTTGATAATCTAAAAAACAAAGAAAATAAAACAACGTAAGTATGGTCGATACCAGGTATACCAGGGGGAAGAACCACCACATACCCATAAAAAAAAAGCTCTTGGTACCATGCTACCAAGGTGGTCCCTACTGTCATGGTCCTTCAGGTTACCACCGAAGGGGTACAAATTCTTTTTTTATTCTGTAAGCATGTTTCATTTAAGCAGAGAGCACATGCTTACCTTAATAAATGGATGATAATTTATCACAACTGAACCTCATTGGTAATCTAAAAAAAGAAAAAAACAATGGTAGTATGGTTTGTACTCGTGGAAGAATCAGCCACTACCATACTCCATAAAAAAAAGTCTGGAAAACGATGGCACCATGCTACCTAAGTGGTCCCTACTGTCATGGTCCTTCAGGATACCACTGATGGTTTACGACACCAACAAACAGGTATGAACTGACTTTATTTATTTTGTAAGTATGTTTCATTAAAACTATGCTAAGCAGGGAGCGCATGCTTACCTTAATAAATGGATGATAATTTACCACAACTGAACTCATTGGTAATCTAAAAATAAAGAAAAAAACAATTGTAGTATGGTTTGTGCTGTTAAAAGCCTCTGAAAAACGATGGTACCATGCTACCCAAATGGTCCCTACTGTCACCACTGATGGTTCACGACACCAACAAACGGGTATAAATGGAAAGAGACGGTACCATGTTACCTAAGTGGCCCCTACCTCATGGCACCACTGATGGTTTCACGACACCATCAAGCAGGTATGAATGGGGAATAGATGGTACCATGCTACCAAAATGGTCCCTACTATCATGGTCCTTCAGGATACCACTGATGGTTTACGATAACAACAAACGGGTATGAATTTTGACTTTATTTATTTGTTAGTATGTTTCATTAAAACTATGCTAAGCAGGGAGCGCATGCTTACCTTAATAAATAGATAATGGTTTAATTTCTATATCACTCAATGAAAAAAAAGAAACTACCATATTTAAAATTTTTTTTAAAAAATATAATATAATGGTTTCAAGAAAAAAAGTAAAATATAAAAAATAAAAGAGAAATACATATATTTATATAATTTTATTAACCATATTGGCCGCACATTTTTGTTTGCATGTGTTTATCATAAACATCCTTTGTTAGTCATATAATAAATATGTGTCACCATATTGTCTATTTGCATTGATTCAGCTTGCAAATGATTTGTGTGATCATATTATTCCCTTAATTAAAATATTATACGTCAATTTTGCATTGCAATAATGTAATGTTTACTTAAAATACTTTGCATACTCTTTATCACACGATGTATATCATGATATAAATGTTCTTTAAATCTTATTTATGAAATTTTAATTAAAAAGTAATTTTAACATTACGTATATTATTAATTTAACATATTCCTTCTAGTGAGAACCGAAAACCAATTATGCCAGCCAAATTTAATTCCAAATATAAATAAATATCCCTTTCAATTTATTTTTTGGAAAGTAAATACTTTATCAGGTATGTAAATCACCATTATATGAATGATACACGATTTGTTTGTTCATCAGCCGTAAAGACAAAACGAAACAAAATACTTTTATTACGTGATGAATAACAGACCTTTAACGTGATAACATTAAATTTACATTTCTATCTTAAGAAAAATTTTATATAGTATATTTGTGATGTGTAATAGTAGACGTATAGGTGTCTTCGGAATTTTACGGTAACTGCACGATGCCATAATACCATAATGATAACGCCGTATAAACGTAATGGCGTAATGATGTAATTTTACATTGCCATTGATACTTAAAAGAAAGAAAGAAAGCTAAATTTCTTAACGGTGAAAAAATCCCTCCCCATTTACCGGAAAGTAAAGTCCGCAGGGAACTGCCCTAAAAAAAAAAGAAAAATGTATGCTATGAACCGTTATTAAATTTTTTTTTTTTTTAAAAAAAAAAAGAATTATCGTAAATATTTACAGTAATACTTCAGCTTTATGTTTTTTATTGTAAATTCATTAATTTTTTTTTAATTTTTAAAAAGGATATATTTATAATTTTAATTATTAAACAAAAGAAAAGAAAGTGTACGTCCATTAAAAAATTTTTAATGTTAGATAATAAAAATATTAAATAAAAACAAAAAAAAAATTATACAATTACGGTTACGGCATATGTTGAAAAGCCGAAATGACGTAATTAGGGAGCTTCGACGAGTAGAAGAATGAAAAGGTTAGTTATTATAATTTCAGAGTTCCGGATTAATCACCTATTCGGCATCTTTTAGTACCGATTAATAAATCACGATATATATTAATTTAATCGATGTTGAATGATTGGCTATCATTGTGCCACTCGTAATATTGTGCCCAATAACGGTTATAACCCTGATCATATTTCATATTTCTATTTTGTAATTAGCCCAATTATTTGTTATTTACACTTAATTACAAAATAAATGTTTAAAGATTTCCATTATTAGTTGTTTGTTAAACTAATTTTACTTTATTAAAAATCAAAATAAATGCAGATTTTAATATCTGGAATATCCAGCAATATATGATGTAATATTGTAATATGCCGAATAGTTTCATGATCCTTAATGGGTTAACCGTTAATGGGGACACCGGCCACCGGATTTTATCCGAAATGCCATAGAGATAAAAAAAGCAATAATTATCAATCCCTGATTCAACTCATATGATTAGTTTGATCATATTAAAATTATTCAATCTATTTAATCGGTCACATCATTTATATTTTTCCTATATATACTGTTAAAAATTACATTTTTTTTTACTGAACGCAAGAAAAACCAGGTTATAATCGAGACATACGGTATATACAACATAAATTTACTATTGCGTACAGCAGCATCAAGAGGCCAAGTTCATCATTAATAGGAAAAAGAAGCGATTATTTTATGCTGTGTGAAATTACTGTATATAGCCTTTTCAGCCAAATTTTTTATTAATATAGTAAATAAATTACATGTAATCGTAATATATAATGAAATTTCAATAATAATATACATGATTATTTCTGCTGATACATGGAAAGTAAACGTTATAAGAGAATAAGGCTAAGACGGCTGCGGCTCAGCACGCAATAACCAAACGATCACAACAATTTATGTAAACATCTTATTAATTTTTAAGAATTACGTCTGAGACCTATTTTAGAGTAGAATTTATGACAAGAGGGTGGACGTGTCCATCATTTTTCGCTACTTTAATGGTTACTAGTAACTCTAGCGATAAAAACGCCACATGATTTTTTTTAGCTAATTAAATAATATTTTATTCCATTATTATTAAATAACTATTACTATGCCTTACAAGAATAAATAAAGTTGATTATACAAAAATTCTCAGATTTTTTTTTTTAATCTAAATACATATATATATATATATATATACACTAATATTATAAATAAATGATTTTTTTTTGTATTAAATTATAATTTTTTTTAAAAAAGAAAAAAAATCACTTTTTTTTATACAGAAACCATACTACTTCTACCCGATCTATCATGTCCAATATTACCACCATCAAAAGGATTTCTTACGGAAAGTCTAATATGTCCGACCATTCCCTTTAATTCTTTTAATTCATCATGTAATTCATCTTTAACAATTTTTAATTCTTTTCTAACAAAATCAGCATCTAATTCTCCCATTTCTTCCATAAATAATTTCCTTTTCCAACTATTTATTGTATCTAAGTGAGCTTCATAATAAATTAAATGAGGAAACCAATCTGGATGCTGGCGTTGTGATGGTGAAAGCATAAAGAGTTCAAGTTCTGCTATTAATTCTGCTCGTTGTCGTAACCATGCTTGTCGTCCCACTAGAAGTGACCCACTAAATACCTCGGTGATTAAACCTATTGATTACGAAAAAATAGGTCAAAAGGAATGAAAACGTTATTAAAAAACATATAAATATCAATTATGAACTTTTTTTCTTACATACCGATGAGAATATTTAGAAGTATGATTACAGCTACGAAACCTATAAAAATCGAAAAAAAAAATTAATGATTATTAACAAACGTTTCATTCTTAAAGTTAAAAAAAAAATTGTTCATCAATCACTCACTGAATAATACCATCATGGCGTACAAAGCGGGATCTGGATTAAAAGTTGTTACACTGTCCCATCCAATTCCCAGGAAAAAATAAGTAGCCAAGATTGAATAATCGAATCTTTCCCACATATTTGTATTTTCTTGGGGCGTTTGAAATAATGATACGTTCGCAGTTATTTGACCAGTATTTTGATCAATTATATTCCCATTATATTCTTGAACTATATCCAAAGGTTGTATATCACGTAAGAGTACAAATAATGCATTTGCAAAACCCTTTTATTATATGGAAAGACAAGTCGAAAAATTGTCAGGTATGAAATTACTTTTTTTTTTTCAAAAAAAAAAAACAACAATTTTTATATATCACACTTACCAGAATAAAAACGAATAACGTTACAAATAATGTAATAATCTTCTTTCCAATTTCGATTACGATTGCAATGAATTTTCCGGGTCCAGCGAATGCCCGAGCTTGTAGCAACTAATGATCAAATCAAAATCGGTTATTAAAGTTTAATCATAATGATATCATATAATTATTATCATTAACACATACCGTATTGATCCATACACATAGAACCGCATAGCTTTTCAAACTATGCGGTGGCTCTTTTCCCACAATAACCATTAAATCGCACACAAGAGGTAAAACAAAGCTTGCTAAATCAAAATAATTAAAAAAGCTAGACCAATAATTTTGCCATCTACCAGACATTTGTCTTAATTCTTGAATTAAAAACAACATTGGAATAATTGTTTCTATATACAATAAAGGACCTTTCCATCCGAGTTTATCTCCAGGTGATGGCACGATTTGAGATTCAATTGAGACTATAGTGTTAAAGAGAATTGCATGGATTAAATATAATCCAAAATTGTATAAAAATAGCTTTTGCGCAAATTTGTCCCTTTTTAAGAAATTAAAGGAAAAATTATATTTTAATGCGTTAATTTTTTTAAATACATAATGAATAAAGAATACTTAATTGTTTAACTTACCATTTGAATTTTATTACAGCTTCCATAACAACTTCACTAAACATTTCTGATGTCCCGTTCAATGCTACATCAGCAAATGGACTTCTTTGAATTGGAGAAATATATATATTCCAAAATCGATAAAATCTTCCGATTAATGGCGGATAATGATCATCTTCAAGTAATGGAGGGTAAACACAAAAATCTGGCCAGGGAACAACACATAACTTTGCAGGATGAGTTTTTTTCGCATCTTCTAAACGTTGTTTTCGTTGTTTTTGTCGCGTTCCATAAGATTCTCTGTACATATTTTGTTTCCTTTCCGAATAATTTGTTGAATCAGGATAATAAATTAGAGCTCCTGTATCATGACGTATTGAGCTGGCATAATCATAATGTCTTGGCAGAAAATTTAATAAGTTTGAAAAACTTTTTTTTTTAGTATCCTCATCCTGATATCTTGTCCCCCTTGGCAATCGAGCTTTACGAGACACAGGGTTTAACTCGCTATGATGACTTCTTTCTTCACCCCCGAATGGATTTCCTAATTTTGTTTGTAAAATTCTTTTTGGAGCTTCCAAAGAAGTTGTAAAATAACTTGATTCTTTCATAATGTAAGCTCCTTTATCAGGGTAATATTTATACAAATCTAATAAAGTTTTACCCAAAGTCCAAGCGAATCCAGGTTGTTGAACGATTCTTTTCGTTATGTTATCAATATTTGAAGGGATTGAACGATTCCGTACTGGATCATACCGACGTTTTACATGTTTTACAACATAATTAACCAATAATTCGACTAACTCTGATTTTTGAAGTTCTACTAATAATAACAAAGCACTCTCGGTTTGTTCTTCGTTGTGGAATAGAGGAATATACCGATCAGTTTCAATAATTTTTCTTACTAAATCATCCCAACCGAACAGAATAAAATCTTCCATAGGACAAAAATATTCATTATTTCCCAAAGAAATTTTATTGAAAGCCGTAGGAAAATGCTTTATTGAAGTATCAACAAGTTTTTTTAATTGTTCCTTAATTGTCAATCGACTAAAAGACTGCACATCATCCATATATTGGAGTCGAAGATAGTGTATCACTGCGCAAGCATCAATCAATGTTCGATATGTAATTTCATTCTCTCCTGGTAAAGATAAAGTAACTGTTTCATTATTTGTCAGTTGTACGTGAAGTAAGGATAAATTATTTTCATCACGCGTTTCCAAAGTCACAAATTTTATCTCTTCAATCCTAGAAAGCCATATATATTGCAACTCTATTCTTAAAAATTTGTTATGGCCTTTTGGTTTTGTCTTGTAAATTTGTACACTATCTTTTCCCGCCATGATAAATCTCTTCCCTTCAGGGTCTAACCAATGAATAAAAATTTCACTATTAATCCAATTATGCCATGGTTCGAACTTAAACTTGCATAATAATTCCTTGTTATTATCTAAAATATGGCCCCAACAGAAATTAGCTCCTTGTTGTTTTTCAATAGATGACATAATTACAAATCCATCTTGACCAGTTTTACAACCGAATGATGATCTAACTAATGCTTGCATAGTGACAGATGGTGAATTATTCGGAAATAATTGATAAGTATTTAATTCATTACCAACAGCTTGTACAAATTTATCACCAATTAATACTAATGGTTTTTTATAATTAAGATATGTCCATTTTTCTTCATAAACTAACAAACCAGCCCAACAATCCCATAATTGAACTCGAACATCTTGGTCTTTTCGAGAGCATAAAATTATTTGATCATTATTCTGCAAGAATGAAATGAGAAAAGTACTTTTAGGAACATCGATTTCAGAAATCAGTAAGGCCGTTGGAGTGTGAAATAAACATAAAGTACCAGATTTATCTTTTTTCTCTTCATAAAATCTAACGAATAAAACATAACGATATTATAAATATTATTTTGTAAATTATTTAAGTAAAGAATGATTTGAAAATAATTATAATTACCTAGCTACTAGATCACCTTTAGTAGAAATGGCAAATAAATTTCTTGTAGATGAAATATTTTTTGCTTCAACATAAAACCATTGTCTTAAAATTCCATTTATATCCCACACAGAAATTCCATCTTTTTCTTCTGGCCAAAGTAAATAACCATATTTTAAACTTTCAATCAAAATATTATGAACATCTATCATATATTCATTACTAAGATTAGAATATTTTGGAGAAGAATGAATTAAAGCATCAATACGAATACTTTTTCGTAAAACCCAATGTTTTGTAGATAATAAATGCATGTTATTCTTAGTGAAACAAACTAAAGTGTGATGACGCACAAATATCAAAGAGCCTAAAATTTCCATAGAATTTAATAACGAATCATTTTGTTGTTTACTATTCTTGATTGAATAAACAACAAATGATGATTCTGGTATACGCTCAGGCTGTTGAGAATTATTTAAGGTTGCAGTGGCGTCCATATTTGGGGTATCCACATGACTTTCTTTCGTTATAGTCACCCTTGATATTGCAACGTATTGTCCATCTTCAGATACGGATATATAAATTTTTGCTTTACTTTCAGATACATTATCTTTGTTGAAAGGAGTTTTAACGGTGAAAATTGAATTAGAAGGTCCGCTATGACTATCGAACGGGAAGACTGCGAGGATACCATTTTCTAAGCTCCATGTAGCTATAAATTTATTGCCCGGAGATGTAGCCACAATATCAATATCGTATTTAAATTCATCATTTATTATTTCCAATTCATCTGTTTCTCCTAAATCAAATGAATCTCTAAGTGATTTACTAAGAGCCGTTAATGAACCTGTAATTTTTTCAAATACTTTGTGTGAAGTACTGACTAAACCTAAACTGGATTTGTCAGATTTAGAATCATCAAAATGTTTTTCATGTGTGAATGAAGTTTTTAAATGATCAAAACTTATTGAATGATCTGGACGTTCCGTAATTGGAGTACCACTTTCAATATTGATTACCGGAATAATATTTGCTTCTTGTATTAAATCCTGACTATCGGTCATTATTATTATTTACAAAATCGCGTGTTTTAAAAATTTAATTAAATTTATTAACTTTTTTAGTTTAATTATAATTTTAATTTATATATAGTCTAAATATTTTTGTCTATATAACAACAAATACTTATTAACCGTTTATCGATTCGATTAATAATTTTTTTTTTTAGTAAAAATGAATTTTGAATTATCAATGCAGTATTTATAAAAAAAAATTATTATCGGGAAAAAAAAAAGAAAAAGGGGTATAGTACAAAATTTTTTTGCATTCCGGTACTTATAAATAAATATTTATACTTTAATTAGAAATAATATTATCAGATCTTTGCGGAAAGTTGATCATTGTAAAAATGGTTGTATGAATATCGGAAAAAAGAAATCTATTAGCAAATTCTTTTATCGTCATTTGATAAAACAATAGGAACTATTTATTTTTTTTTTCACTTTCCCCCCTATTTTTTCATTAAATAATTAGATTATTACTATTTTCTTCCGTTCTCCGAAACAATGACGACGTCTACCGTTATTATGTGGCGCAATAAAAAGATCGGTACCACGCCACTTATATATGGCTAAATTCCTGTATGAATTTTATACAAATGTATTAGTGCATATGGAATTTGGATTTTTAATTTAGTAATTCAAGTATATTTTCTATGAAGATCCTATTAATTTAAGGATTTGACATGCCTAAAAAATAAGAAACCCGTGAACTAGTCCAATGATCGTTTTGTGAACGGGCCGGGACTTAAATGTAACCATACCCCCATTTTTTATTCCATTTTTGCTTTATTCAAGGATTTTTTTTTTTTTCCCTTAGCAATCTTAGCAATCTTACTTCGATTTAATATTTGTAAGAACTTTTTAAGTACTTGCAGATATTTAACCTAATATTACATGATACGAATTGTGTCAATCATCTCCGCCAGCATTATATCTAATTTTGGCTGAAACCAAAATAATTGGTGAACAAATTTTCCTAATAGAGTTACTTTAGTCAGATGACCATCATCAGCTGATTATACAAATGTTACATAAAACAATAAGACAATTTTTTTTTAAATAATGAGCAAAAATGCAAAAAAATTATTTTTGATCTGTTTTAATATATCAGATTTATTATTTGGATTAATAAATTAGTTTATTCATAACATAGTTTTCACTGGTTCATGAAAAAAAAATAATTAATTCAAGTATCATGCCAAGAATTTTATTAAACAAATATCGATTACAATCAATATATTAATTTATTTTGAAGAAACACTATCTAACTCCAAATTTAGTTTGAGAAACAGAATTTGTGTAACAGATAAATTGTCGCACGAACGTTCAAGCTAATTTAAGGTTCATTCATAACTAGCCGGAAAAACTTCATATTTAAAAGAACTTAATTCTTTATTATTATTTTTTTTTCTTTCTTTTGAAAATTATTAATATTATTGTTTAATATTATTGCTATTTTTATCATTATCATTTATTATTTATATATTAGGATCTATCATAATTTTTGGTTCATAATAATGTGCATACTTTCTGGAACAGAGATAAAGAAACAATTAAAAGAAGAGTATGTAATTTTTTTTTGATTTAATAATAACTCTTACTCCTTAGTTAAATAATTCATCTCACTTTATTTTTGGAATTGAAAAAAAGAAAATTAACAATCGAACCTTGTGATTATGCTAATATCGGTATTGCAAGGTAAAACATTTTATTTACATATTATTGTTACGGGTACATTTAAAAAATAGGATTAAAACGGTCGTCAACCATTAAATGAAACTTGCAACAATGACGCCCCGACTAAAACTATGTGCCTTTAAGTTTTTCATAGTTGGCTAATCCAGTATAATTTTCAACAAAATATAAATTTCAGTATTGATTTAACCCTTGGAGATGAATTTAGATATTTTGTTCATCATAATGGACCAGTACCAATTAGTGATGAAGCTGGTGCGAAAGATTACCAAAAATTTTCAAGAATCGTGAGTTGACAAGTAACTATGGTTAAATTCTTTATTTAATATATATTATATTATATACATATATATATATATATATATATATAATTTTTTTTAAAATTTATAAAATATTAAACTCCTGTTTTTTTTCTTTTTTTTTTAAAAAAAAAAAACTAATAGATGAAGTGTGATGATGGTAGACCATATTTTCTTGGGCCTGGTCAAATGTGTTTAGGTTGTTAAAAGAATTATCGTTGCTTTTTTGTTACTGTTCTATTATTAATCATTAGCTGAATGTAATTGAAAAAAAACTTTCTTATTTATGAATCTTCTAGGAATTACAAAGGAGAGAGTTCAATTACCATCGGATTTATGTGCATTAGTAGGCAAGTTAAAAAAAATAACAAATGAGAAGTCATCACAGATCCGTTTAATAAGATATAAAAATGTTCATATATTTTCTTCTTAAAAATTATAGAAGGAAGATCAAGATTTGCTAGATTAGGATTATCGGTACATATTACAGCATCATTCATAAACCCTGGATCGAATAATCAAACAGTTTTGGAAATTTTTAACGCATCAAGTTTAACCTTAGCCTTATATCCTGGTACAAAAGTTTGTCAAATGATCTTTATGACTATGGAAGGTCAAGCTCATTATAACGGAATTTTTCAAGATCAAGCTTTGTAACGGTTAATAATAATTGTTTATTAATTTTTTTCTCTAAATTTTTTTCAATATTTTTTTTTTTTTTTTTTTTTTTTTTTCCTTTTTTTTTTTTGTTGTTGTATTTAATTTAATTGAAGTAGGTAGTTTATGTAGCTTTAGCAGATTTTATTTATAACAAAATTTTCTAACTTAACAGTTGTTTAAATAAAATGAACTTTATCATTAAAATTTGGTATTTGTTTTCCTACATTTGAGCGGACCGGACTCGACTCAATTATTACACAATTAACCATAGCATATAATCACTTTTAGGGTAATTAAGTTCGCCCACGCATAAAAATATTTTTACGATCGTTAATTTTCTGGCATGGAAACGAACTATAAATAGTATAGAAAATCTAACCGGGTTGAAAGAAAATTAGAAAAATAACAGCGAAAGAAAATGTAAAAAAATAGGGAGTGAAAAAAGGGAGTTTAAATAAATTTCAAAATTTGATGATATCGGTCCAAAAATTGTGTTCTACAATACGCCTCATACTGAAATTATTTCTTTATCTATTGATTTGTAATTGCCGTGATGCCGACATTTTCCCCCATCAATAAACGATACTTATTTATTAATTCTTTAAATAATAATTATTTAGCACGATTATTCAGCACAAATTGCCGAATAATATATCCGGTGTCTCATTTATATTCAGTATCCCATTAAGATCATGAAGCTATTCTGTTCATATTTGGCATATCATACGGTATCATTTATTATTATAATCTGCATTTATTTATGTTTATATAGTAAAATCAATTTAACAACTAATAATGGTGTCATAAAAAAATAGATCAGGGGTTTATAACCGTTATTGGGCACAGTGGCACAATTACAGCCATATACAATGAATATATCGTGATTTATCGGGTACTGAAAAGTGCCGAATAGGTGATTAATCCGGATTCCCGAATTCTGGAATTATGCAATTAACTGTAAGAACATTCTTCTACTTATAGGCTTTGTCGAAACTCCCTAATTACGTCATTTCGGCTTTTCGACATATGGCGTAATTTTTTTTAAAAAAAATTTTATACCGTTAAGAAATTTCGTTTCTTTCTTCCTTTTAGCATATAAAATCACGCCATCACGGCATTTACGTACCGTTACCGTAAAATAATCTATACGTCTACTATTACACATCATAAAGTTTTTTTTACGATAGAAACGTAAATTTGATGACATCACGTTAGAAGTCTCAAATTATTGTTATTCATCACATGATAAAAATATTTTCCCTACCATTCTTCACATACCCTGTAAACTTCTTTTCTTTTTCTTCTTGCTAAATCCAATAATTATTTTTCATCATTTGATTCAGTAATTGAATCAGTAGGAAATATCATAGCATGGTCCCTATTAAAATAAATGAGTTTAAATTAAATTTATATTCTTTATTACAATAATACTTTTACCTGATAATCATCATCAGTCTATTTTAGAAACATTTTTATTGTGATCTCAGTTGCATCAAAATGACAATAATTTGACCTTAATATAAAAAAAAAAAAGATGCAGAAAAAAAAAATAAATATTTGCATAACAAATTGAATCGAATTAAAATTTAAAGATTTCTTATTTTTTTTGTACAATAAATATTTTTCGTTTATTTAATTCCTTCTAGAAATGAAATATATATTTTGATAAAATTAAAACGGATATATCAATTATTTTTAGTGATAAACAAATATTTAAAAACATGTTTCGCAAAAAAAAAANAAAAAAAAAAAAAAAAATACGAATAATAAATAAAGAACTTTGTTCATTCAGTTAGGATCCAATAAAGTTTAAAATAAAATTGATTGATAATTTCCAAAATAATCTGTGCGACTTTAACTAATTAATTATTTAATATCCGATCAACAAATTATCCCGATTAATTCTTTTTTATAACGACCGTCTTGGTTTATAGTCAGTTCCATTACAATTTTTTAATTATTCATAAAATGAATACTTCAAAGCATATAAAAACAATTAAAAATGAAAATGCTCGAAATTTATGGAAGGAAAGTGATGATACTGTTGATCAGGTTATTATAATTATAACAAGTAATATTGAATTTGTATTATAACTTCATAGTTATTTATTTTAATAGCTTCATGTTACAATTTCATCTGCTAATTCAACTACTGAATCAGAAGAAACTTGTCACATATATCAAAAAGTGAATTTTACAGACTTGGAAAAAAGAAAAAAAGTATATGGAATATGTGGAGAATGCAATGAACCTAGAACAGGAGAATATTGGTGTCAACCTTGTAATGCTAAAAGATTTGAGGCAAACTTTAAAAATTGGACTAATGGAAATAAAAATATTGATGAACTAATCTAACAATCACAACTTAATGCTTTGCATCCCTCAAAATTTCTTGAATGGATACCTTTTGAAAATTTTGAAAACGTTATTTATATCACTTAAGGTGGGTTTGGTAAAATTTATTCAGCTAATTGGTCTGAAGGATGTATTGAATTTTGGAATATTGAAAAAATCAAAAATTGAATAGAGAAAAATGTGATAAAGTGATATTAAAAAGTTTAGATAATTCGTCTAATATAAGTACAGATTTTTTAAATGAGGTAAGTAATAAGTATTGCTTTAATTTACAGTATATATTTATGATATAACATATGTTTAATCTCTTTTTAATGATTTTAGATTAAATATTTTATTTCAGATCATTTTCATTGTAATAAAATTATTCCATGTTTTGGAATTACTCAAGATCCAAATACCAAAGATTATATGATGGTTTTGTATTTTGTAAAGATGGGAATTTAAGAAACAATCTAATGAATGACTTGGATTATGAATCTAAAGTTAATCAATTATTTTTTATTATAGATGGACTTTTAGCTATTCATAATGCCGAAAAAGTTCATAAAGATTTTCATTCAGGAAATGTATTAGTTGATAATAATGTACCACTTATTAGTGATTTAGGATTGTGTCAACCAGTAAATGATAATGAGCGAAAAGGAGTTTATGGAGTAATACCTTATATAGCACCGGAAGTTTTACGTGGATATCAATATACAAAAGCAGCAGATATTTACTCATTTAGGATAATAATGAATGAAATTATGTCGGAAGAAATTACTTATAATGATATTCCTCATGATTTTAGTTATTAAAATATGTAAAGGTCTTAGACCAAAAATTTTTGAAGATACACCAAAATTAATTGTAAATTTGATTATTAAATGTTGGGATGCTAAAGCAAAAATAGACCAACTGCTAAAGAATTATGCCAAATATTTAAAAAATGGGCTTGTGAAATGGATGATAAAAATAGTGAAATTTATTCTCAAATAAAAGAGTGTGAAAAAATTAAAGAGAATAAATTAAAAAATAAACAAATGAAAATAAACCTAAAAATTTTCAGTTACATCCACAAGCAATTTATACTAGCAGACTTTTAAATTTCAAAAATCTTCCAGAATCAATAAATTCAACGAAATTATATTCATTTCAATATGATCCAGGTGAACTTTTATTTAAAAATTTTAATAATTAATTTTAATAATCATAATTATTTATGCTATCATTTAATTTAATTGTTACAGTTTCTGAATGTTTGGATTGTCAAATTAAATAAATTGGTAAGATAAATATTTATATTTAGTTTTTAATTACGATGATGAAATAATGAATTTTTAAAAGACCTCGATATATTTGATATACCGATGTATATTAAAAACTCGGAAACCGTAAATGCGTAGATATATAAGTTCCAGACAATAAATATTGGGATAATTTGATATAACGATATTTTTCAATGATTTTTCGTATGGATCTCAACATATCATTATATCGGAGTTTGACTGTAATATTAAATTTTATATTAAATTTTATTTTATTTATTTTCATTTATTTGATTTACCTAAATCCTTGATCTTTTTGTATCAATATAAACTGATAGAGTCTTTTATAAATAGGTACTAAATTTACGACTAAATTTGCTAACATTTTATCTGTAAAATCTTTATTAATTAATTTACTAATTCTTAAATTTTTAAAATAAGAAAATACAAAATTAATATTTGATTTACTGAAATATTTAATCATTGTAAGTGGATTCATATTATGAAACCGGTTTGCGTTTAAAGCGGGTGCCCAAACTGGGTTGAAATTAATAAAAATCTATGCTTAATTCTAAATTTAAAAATCTGCTAGTATAAATTGCTTGCAAAGATTTTTAGACTTATTTTTATTTTATTTTTTTTTTAATGTATATGTACAGTCGTGTCGGAAAGTATATGCAAATATTATATAAAAATATAATAATAATACTCGATTGCTTATGTTACAATACTTCATGTATTTTCATTCTGAAACTTTTCCGCTCATTTGTTCTTTTAGGATGTCATACAATAAGTTGTATGATTATATTAAAAGAAGTCACGAATTTATCAAACTTGAACCAAATGGCAGAACTGTAGGCGAACTTTTCACATTCTTTAAAATTTGAGATTAAAATACGCCTTTTAATTTATTGATACAATTCTTAACAGTTGTTCTATTTTTGTCTTGGTATTCTAACATTTATCAATTAGCTTAGCCCAGAAATTAATTTTGGTGCATATTCAGAAACAGTTGGTTTAGGCTCTTTACATATTTTAAACTATTATAATATAATTATGAAAATATTATTTTAAGGACTTCTGGTTCTATATAAGAATAAACTCCATTTAATATTTTGCTGGTATACACATAATTTAATGTCTCAAAAAATTGTTGATCGATTAATTGCATTACTATGATCGATCAAAAATCAATTGATCGATTCCTTAACCGATCACGTTCGTTTGAATTTAAATGATTGATCATCGATCAATCATAGGCTATATAAGTAATTACGTAAAAATTATCATTATCATTATTAATTTCTTTAGGAGTAAAACGATATAGAAAATATGATTTTTTTATTTGAAATTAAACAGAATGAATTATATGTAGTAAGTAATGAATTTAATACAAATATTTACATATCTGTAGAAACTTAAAATTTCTAAGAAAAATTAAGTATTTAATACAAGGTTGGAACCTTTAAGTGTAATGTGAATAAATGTAAAATAATTTTAATGACTTGTCTCATTTGTCGAATTTAATCAAAGGAAATCTCAATGAATTTTAAAGAAATAATTAATAATTTTTGGACCATGTTTATTATTTGTAATTTATAGTCATATATATTTAATAAAAGTGAACAAAAAGTGCTGACTTAGCCAAGCCTTTAAAAACTTGTTGTCACCTGATCATCAACATTAAGGTACAGCAACATTGATCAGGAAGGGAAAGGGAAGGAAAAGCAAGGGAGAGAACATTTTGCTTAATCTGAAATATACAAAGATACCCTTCAGAAAAACAAAAGGATTGCAGCATCTCAGTGATGCACAACTGTTAGTTTTCATCAAAGGTTTGCACCAAGTTACGGTCACTAATTTCTGTTATTCATGCAGCAAAATCTTACACTCAAAGATTTGTAATCATCTGAAAATTCCTAAAAACAGAGAAGGACGTTTACAGTAGCTGTTCTCCATATGCTAAGACTGCAAACTGTGGCCACGATGTGCTTCCAGTTCTCTGAATTCAAAAATGATTTCAATGAGAATAAATAATTGGCATGAAAAAGATGTCAACTGTTAAAAAGGTTGTGTTTTTTCTTAACAGGTGATTTTAAAATACTGTTGAAAAGGTATGTTTCTCCACAACAGTAGATTTTAAAATTCACCATCTAGATCATACTCCTATCAAGTACTTGCTTATTAGCTTCAATAAAAAGCACTTGGATTGCCTTTCAAACCCTCACAACATTTTAATGATAAAATAATACCTTAATATATTAGGATCATTGATTGCATCTTGAAGTTAACTTTGCAAAATTTTAAACATCATGTGCAGTTGATCTAAATAAAGACAGAATGTGAGTACTATACTGTTATACAAAAAATATGAATGATTGGGTTAGCATGATAACAGAACATTTTGCTTAATCTGAAATATGTAAAGATGCCCTTCAGAAAAACAAAAGGGTTGCAGCATCTCAGTGATACACAACTGTTAGTTTTCATCAAGGTTTGCATCAAGTTACATTTCTGTTATTCATGCTTGCACTCAAAGATTTGTAATCATCTGGAAATTCCTAAAAATAGAGAAGAATGTTCACAGTAGCTGTCCCCTATAAACTAAGACAACAAACTGTGGCCATGATGTGCTTTCAGTTTTCTGAATTCAAAAATGATCTCAATGAAAATAAATAATTGGCATGAAAAGATGTCAAAAAGACCATTAAAAAGGTTGTGTTCCTTCTTAACAGGTGATTTTAAAATACTATTGAAAAGGTATGTTCCTCCTCAACAGTGAATTTTAAAATTCACCATCTAGATCATACTCCTATCAAGTATTTGCTAAGCCCAATAAGAAGCACTTGGATATTGCCTTTCAAACCCTCACAACATTTTAATGATAAAATAATACCTTAATATTTTGCATCTGCTAATGTCTTTTTGAAGTCTCTCTGTTGCAAAGTAAATGGTATAAAAGATTATTAGATCTAAGAAGAAAAGTAATTGCAAAGTAAATGGTATGATAGATTATTAGATATCTAATAAGAAAAGTAATTGCGAAGTAAGTGGTATAATAGATTATTAGATATCTAAAAAGAAAAGTAATAAACTAACTATCATTAGAACATTTTTTTTCGTCAACTTACTACAATTAAAATTGAAACATTTAATCTTCATTATTGGAGTGAAATATTGTAAAAAATAAATGAAATATTTTTGTTGTAAAAAAAAAGAATTATTAAAATTAAATATTGAAAAAAGAATGAATTATCAAAGAGAATTATTTTTGTTGTAAGTAGAAAAGTAACAAGATGAGGGAAAGGTAGAGAGGTATTTATATAGTTTTTTTTCGAGATGTATTTATGTAATAATTCGGTTAATTTGTTCCCAAAGAGTTGGCGGAGATCTTTGAGTCCGAAACAAATCGGAATATATTTAATACTGCTCTTATTTTCCTTGTAATAAAAAAAAATAATCAACAATAAGAATAATAATCCTCTTCTAGGATTCCAAAGTTCTTAGTTTCAACATGCCCATTTGGAAGTTCACGTACTGAGAAGTCCTTACCACTACGAAGAATCACATGACATATCATTTCAAATAACTGTCCGCGGAGACTTCCCATTTCCGATATATCTTTTGCATTATTCATAAATTTGCGCAATTCCTTATTATTATCCTTTTTTAATTTTTCCAAACAAAAATTTGCAACGTGTTCTGAAGCGAAGTAGTAGATAGAATCAGTATATGGATCTTCCTCATCATCAGATGGGAGATTTGTGTGTATATGTATTAATTTGTGAGTAAGCTCGTCACCATTCACAGTTTTACCTTGATAATCGAGTATTTTTGAATCGATTGATGTAACTGCACGCTCAATAATCTTTTCAATGCATTTCAGATTCATACTAGGATCAAAAATCAACCTTGCTATTCCACCACATAGCTTGAACTTTTCCATCACTAATGTTATACTATCAATTTTAAGAAGCTCACAATAGTCTAATACCTCATCTTTTTCCCATACTGGCATATACATACTTTTGCACTTCGATGCTTTAACAAAATCTTTAATTAATTCTTTTTTGGGAGAAGATACCATTATAAGCTTTCCGACATTAAAATCATGACTGATTTGGGGTTTCCTCTCATCGATTATACACCACGTATCTGAATCTTGTGCGAATAGTTTGTATTCGTCAGTATTCACTATAAACGTCATTTTTTCTTTAGGATTTATATATAATGTGAAATCTTTATGATCCATAAGAACCGTCTTTCCTTTCTTAAGAAGCGTAACTAGCAATAATCTTCCAAAATATGTCTTCCCGATTCCAGGGTTTCCGGTGATAAAATATCGCTTGAAGTCTTTATCATTGAATATAAATTCGCGGAAATAAGGATAACACTGTCGATTATATATAGTTGTATATTCACTATCGCCTGGCAATGGTGGCACTCTGAATATTGGTTGATTTGTGTCGATCGTGTTTAAGTTATCAATAAGATTTATTATCTTTTCCGCATCTAGAAAAAGGTATAAGTCAGGATGTTTTTTATTTTTAATAAGGCCAAGGCCAACATTGAAAGAAAAAAAAATACCTTTCTGTTCGAGTTGTGTTAGTTTTCCCTTTTTGGCTTGGTTCTCATTTCCCTCGTCCGAATCTTCTGCTTTCCTTTTGCCTGATCGAATAAAAAAAAATATGTGAGATAACGCGAATTTCTTGTTTGAGAGGTAAACCATTGGGAGACACTTACCAGTGGTGGCGGGCAGTTGTACGATTATGTGGATGCCCACTGGAGGATTATCTAAGAAAATTGTATTAATCGATTGAGTCATCCTAGACAACTTAACACCGCCAAATTCTGCTTGAATATCAGTTTTAATATTTTCAAGTTTTTTTATGATATTATCAGTTTCTTCAATCTCAACCTTCCAAAGATCCACGTTAGAGCTACTAAGAATATCTTCTCTCAGCTCCCAGATTAAGTCCTTGAGGTACGCAACAGTAAAATCTTTAAATGGGATATCACTACCTTTGACGTGAGTTACTTCACTAATAGTAGCCGGAAAAACACCCCTAACATAGTCGCCTAGAATGAAACAATATAAATTTCTTCGAGCCATATTTCTGAAAATGTCGAGAGTTAATAATGTGAGGTTAATAATGTGAGGTTTTGAGAAATAATTTGTGAGGAAAAAAAGAGTTTAGAGAAGCATATATATATCGTAATATATAATTTTGAGTCATACGGCATACGTTATTACTGTATATGTCTCTTAGCATTAGTTACCTTTTTAGCCGATGACCGTCATTTTTTATCAACCCATTTGACATTTTATTATGTGTTATTAGTAAGAAGTTATGATGATAAATACATAAATAACTCTTAGTTGACCTCTGAGTTTACAAGAATTGACTCAAAATATAAGAAGTATTAAATTAATCCCACTCAATCACCCGAAATAATCAAAACAACTACAAAAATTGACTCAAAATATACAAATACAAAGTATACCGAAAAAATTTTCATCAGTACGGATATTTATATAATTACGAAATTTTCGGTTGTACGGATCTGCTATGTTTTTTCACATGATACGCCAACGAAATTGATTAATCATGACTCATTGATTCATGAGTCATGACTAATATTATAACTCTGATATTTCTTATAGTACCTTACGTAAATATACCTTGCAAAAATAATAAAATTATTTTTATATTTCAAAACGAAATTACATTGCCTCTATTTTTTTTTATTGATCATGGTCATCCGATTTTTCCCACGATTCAAAAGTAATACATTATTATTAGACTCGTGTTATTTTGACAACTCTAATGTCATTTTGACACTTTTTTCTTATTTTATAGAAAAGCAGTTTGTTAAAGTGGTAAAGAAGGACGGAAAATACAGAAAATGGCAAAAAAAGATATGAGTCATGTCAAAAATCAAGAAAAAAAGATGAACGTAGCAATACCACCGAAAAGTTTGTCAGTTACACATGCCGGGTTGTGATTTCGGATAGTAGTCACATTTTAATCAATTACGCCAGATTAGATTAAATAATCGATTTTCCGCTTTCTCTTCACTATAAACTCATATTTAAAAAGAAGAGTCACGTAATAAGCCAAAACGACATTTATGGTTAAAAAATGTTCGTTCAAATTTAAGTCATTAGAGAAAACGAGTAAACGATATTATAATAAGGATACGATGTATCGAGATTCGAGAATAGTTGTGTAACCGCAAAATTTCTAACGCCGCCAAAAAGAATCAAAAAAGTGATATTAAACCAGTTCACCTTTGCGTTCAGTTTAAATAAAATGATTTCTATTATTTTGTTGTAGGAATGCTAACCGGAAAAAAAACGAATCGTGCTTTATTTATTCGTGCATATAAAACTTACTTACAATAAAATTATTTATTAATTCGTAAAAAATAAAGCGCGCATGATAATAAATATTACAATACGTGATAAAAAACTACCTTAAATAAAAGATATAAAATTTAATACTTTTAAAAGTGGAAGGATACAAATAAAAATATTACCAAATATCAAAATATTAACTGTCCATCATTCATCGTCTTCATTAAGATCTATACATAATAATTATAAAAATCAATTAATATATTTACATAAAAAAGAATTATAATTAAAGAAAAATATCTTTACCTAATTCACTTAATTGACAATCCATACATTCAGAAACTATAAATCAAATAAATTAAATGATAGTGTAAATTATAATTACATAAACATAATAATTATTTATAACTAAAATGCATATAACACATACTTAGATTTGATAATGGTGAAGGAGTGTTATCATCTATTTAAAACATCAAGGATAGATTATAATGAGAATATGATTCACATTAATTTTTTTAAAAAATAAAATTTACCTGAATGTGAATTAGTTGAATTTGTTGGTTCTGGAAGATTTTTGAAACTTATTTGTCTACTAATATAAATTGCTTGCGGATGTGATTGACTTCTAGGTTTGTTTTTTAATTTATTCTTATTGCATTTTTTTATTTGAGATTTAATTTCACTGTTATTATTATACATCTCAATTTTCCATTTTTTTAATTGTTGATATAACTCGTTTGCGGTTGGTCTATTTTTAGGGTTAGCATCCCAACACTTAGTAATCAAATCTGCAATTAATTTTGGAGTACCTTCAGAAATTTTTGGCCTATGTCCTTTACATATTTTAATGGCCAAAATATGATCATGAGGTTCCTCATTATAGGGAATTACTTCTGACATAAGTTCATTCATTACAATTCCAAATGAATAAATGTCTGATGCTTTTTCATATGGATGTCCACGTAAAACTTCTGGTGCCATATAAGGTATCACACCATAAGTTCCTTCATTACCTGATTCGTTATCATGATTTGCCGGTTGACACATTCCTAAATCACTAATGTGTGGACGACCAAATTCACCATATAATATATTGCCTGAATGAAAATCTTTATGAATTCTTCCAGAATTGTGAATATTTAGAAGTCCACTCGCAATTTCTGTTAAATTCTCAATTTTTGAATTATAATTAATAGGTTTATGTCTATTAATTAAATGCTGTCTCAAATTTCCATTTGCACAATAAAACAAAACCATCATATAATCTTTAGTAGTTGGATCTTGAGTTATCCCATAACATTGAATAATATCAAAAATATAAATCTGAAGATGAGATTTGATCTATTTAAAAAAAAAAAAATCAATTTAATATATACTTTACGTTACACAATAAACAAATCATGTGATCTAATATTGAATTTAATAATTTAATTGGTTAATTAATTAATTAATTACCTCATTTAAAAACACTTTACTTAAGTTAGAAGAATTATCCAAACATTTTAACGCGACTTTAACATTTGGACATCTATCCCATTTTTGATTTTCAATATCCCAAAATCTAATAAATCCTTCAGGCCAGTTAGCAGAATAAATTTTCCCAAATCCACCTCTGGTAATGTAAGTGATATCTTCAAATTTTTCATAAGGTATCCATTCAAGACATTTTTTATAATGTACAGCATTAAGTTGTGATTGTTGTATTAATTCATCAATATTTTTGTTTCCACTAGTCCAATTTTTAAAGTTTTCTTTGAATCTTTTAGAATTACAAGATTGACACCAACGCCTTCCTGTTCCCGGTTCATTACATTCTCCACAAATTCCATAAATTTTTTTTCTTTTTTCTAAATCTTCCATGAGAATTATCTTACTACCTGTTTCATTAATACCTTCTAATGGAGAAATTATAACATTAAGCTATTAAACAAATGATTAAGAATTATTATGATTAATTTTTAGTTAAAAAGTTAATTTTTTAAAGAATTTAACATTGTTTATTAAAAATAATTATTATTTTTACCTGATATTTATTATTAGCATTTTTAATCCATAAATCTCTAGCTTTTGTTTTAGGATTAGTTCCACTCGTATTCATATTTTATTAATTAAATTTGGACGTTTTTAATATTAAATAAATAGATAATTAAATTAAGAGAGGTAAAGTTAATATGAAGGAAAAGGTCATCACTTAAAGCGTTTTTATTGTGAGAATATTGTTATACAAAAAATGCGGCAAATGAAATAAATGATAAATAATTAACTATTTTTAGATTTGATGGCGTTACTCTTTGTTACACCACGGAAGCGAATTTACTGCTCCAAACAATGTGATTAGTTGTTGAGTCCATGATTCACGAGAACACAATTGTATTAACTTAACTTTTTTTGATTATCAAGACTTTTCTAGACCGGACTAATGAAAACGCCAAACACAATATTCACCGATGCCTTGGAGCCCTCCGAAGGAGGTGAGCATCGATGTATCCATGGAATAACAGGCTCATCTCATTGTATATGTCGTATACACCGATGGATTTTATAATTTTTTATACCGGTGGAATAATTGACAGAAAAATCCATCAGTGTATACATACGTATATCGCGGGCAAATTTCGGAGGTTTGGCCAATTGCCCTGTACCCCCCTTATTACGCGAATTTTTATTATTAATAGAAGGTATAAATTAATTAGGGTATTGTTGCACGTCACACCTAAGATATTTGTTGGATTATTTAAATAATATTAAAATCAATGGAGAATGTGACTTTTTTTTTGAGGGGTACCATACATAGGGAACTAGGGGAGGTACTATGGCCCGTGATATACGGTGGGATTGATTGCATTTTATGATTAAAAATTTAATTGATCGATTAACTTTTTATGGTACATATAAGCTCCCAAAAAATATTCAGATTAGACGTGCATAAAAAGTGTAGAAGTCTTTATGATTACAAAAATTATGTTATTGAATTTGTAATTTAATAATTTTTTGTAAGCCTTATGGGTCTTATCAAAAATGCTCACATGTAAGATGCGGCTACTATAGAATCAATTACCGTACACATACAGTTATTTTCAAAAACCGCCAAAGATTGACACGTACATGAAAGTATTTTATTATTACCAAATCTTTCAAAAGATCCTGAAATAGCTGATCCAATAATATCATTGAACAAATTTTTAGTGTAATTGGAGAGGAAGTTTATCGAATAAATAATGACAGCATATTATATATTAAATTTTGTAGACCCAAATTTCCAAAGTTCCTGCATTCACATTAAAATTTACTAGTTTGTTATTTTTATCTTGATAATTAAAGAATTAAATTTAGTATTTTATTATAAATTATGATTTAAATAACTATTATAGATTTTAAATTATAAAAATTATAATAAAATAATAAAATTGTAAATTACATTTTGAATTGTGTTTTTTAACACTTAGCAAATTTTGATTAAATATAATAGGTGTATATCGGTATTTATATTTAATAGAATAATAGAAGATGAAAATATAATATATCATACATACTGTATATGTACCATTTGTCTTTTTACGAATTTTAAATTGTAAGATACCAGTTGATTCCCCATTCAGTTTTGACACGTTTTTTTAGGGTCGATCACAATTTCCTCATCAGAGTGTACACCTCTTTAATAGCTGGATTTACGTAATGCCGGCTGGAATTATCAAAAAGGAAAATTTCGTAGGTTCATTTTCATTTTTATTCGCCAATATCCAATATGCAGTATTTCTTAATTATGATCAGACGTGACCAGAATAATTTTGAAATCCCTCTTTCGTGCAAACTACCGGCTAGTTACCAGGATACTATACAGAACAGTACGGTATATATGTGGACCCTTTGAAATAATTATGCGGCAAAGTGATTTTTTTTTTTTTTTTTATTAATAAAATGAATAATATAATATTAAATAATATTTTTAACTAAATGACGAAAATTTAAATATTAATCAACACTTAATCAACATACTTATTAAATATAATAAACCAATTCCTTGAAAGATATCTTAATTAACTTCAACTACTCTACTACTAGTAGTAGAATTATTATATATTTCTGAACTTCTATCCTTTGTTAAATTAAGATTAAAGGATTTAGAAACATGAATCTCCAATACATTACGTAAATTTGTGATAAATCCCGTATCATTATCAACTAATTGCACAAGTTCGATCATGTGTAATGATTCTTTAATTGCAATAAAGTGTAATGCAACTGATTCACATGTTGAAGGATGTAATGGACTGAATAATTTTGTAAATAAAAAGGTCGTAAAGAAACAAAGTTATTAATTAAAAATTTTTTAAAAAAAAGAAAGATTCTTTATAATGTCTTACCCAACTCTGACATTATTTTCTAAACAAACAATATCTGCATCTGGTGTCTCCGTTTCTAGATACTTCTTTATGAAATCTAGTAATTTACAATATCGTTAAAATCCTTTTTTTTTTTAAAAAAAAAAAAAAAAAAAAAAGAGGAAGAGAATAATAATAATGAATTTTCTTCTATTTTCTTAATTATATTACCTGATTCATCCAAGAATGGTTCTAATTGATTTGGCTGATTTCCATTCCCAATAACGATTTGATCATTTTGTATTACCTTTGCTCCTAATGGAGCTGCTACTAAATTTCTAATAGCTCTATTAGAAATTAACAAAATAATTAATATAATCTCGATAAAAATAAATCAACGAAATAAAGTAATCCTTACTTCTCATTAGGTCGCTTTTTATTAGGAACCATCACAGTAAATCTTCGAACATGTTTTGATCTGTTAACGACAAAAACATGTATTGTAAATACTTTACCCACATATACTTTAGATGTAACTGTAGAGTAATAAGAATAATAAATTGATTAACATTATTATTAAAGTAAATAATGACTTTTATAAGATTAATAGTGAAAAATACCTAAAAACGATACAACAACTCCATCGCCAACTTCTACTTCTGCGGGTTTCTCTGTTAATGGGGTTCTTCCACTTATAAGAATTCCATTACTAAGATTATGATCATCAGGTATTGTGGGAAGACCTGAATATTGTCTCCTTCCACGTCCATTAGTTTCAGCTGAGAAAAAACTTTTAGCTGTAGGTGTCATTGAACCGGTTGGTGAAAATAAATTACCACTTCTTGCCGATGAAGGAGATGTTATTTGACCCGGTCTTGATTGAAGTGAAGATCTTTGATTTTGAGGCACACCTGGCGGCGGATAGGTATCTTCACGTCTACGCAAATTAGATAAATCTAACATACAATTCCATCTAGATTCAATACTTCTACTTTTCATACCATCATGAACGGGTGACCCTTTAACAACAATGGATACATGTCGTTGACGATCTTCAGATGATGGTGTATATAAAGAATTGACTGAAAAGACTGAAGCTGTAGATGAACGACGTGAAGTAGGTCGTGAGTGGGGATTTGGTGTAGGGTAATATGTTGGAGCTAATTTTGGAAAAGAAGGGTCATCAAGAATCGTTATATTATATAAAAATGTCACTTGGTCAACTGGATTAAGAATTAACGGGAATTTATCCTAAAATAATGAATTATATTTTTAGAAAAAAAAAACATTAAAATATTCGAATAACAAACTCCAATAAGTAAAGTATTACACACTTTCTTATCCTTGGGTCCCCAATCATATCTTGTCACAAAACCGTAAGCAATTTCTACATTAACCACCTCAACAGAAAATGAGCCACCTGCATCTGTATTATTTTCTAACTCAACAGACATCATTAAAGCATTATCTAAAGGTGACACACTAGTAGTTCTCATACGAACATTCAATGCTGATTTTACTGACAGAATTTTTCGAAAATCACGTCTAGACTGGTATGAACTTGAATGAGAATTTACTCTTTTAATATCCGGATATAAACGTGATGGAGGTAACAAAAGACTATTTGTAGATTCTTCAAAAGATGGATCTATTACAAAATATAATTAGTAAAAAGTAAAATAAATTCAATCAAAAAAAATTTTTTTATGTAATTTAAATTATTTATTACAAACCATCATTTAACCCTTCTAATAGATTCATATTTCCAAAATTCTCAGGAGCATATAAATCAGCTTCTGGTGATTTTACGTCAATTTGAACTTTGGGTTGAGGTTTCTGCGTCACTATTGTGCTAAGAGCTAATGCAGGTGTTTGAGCTCGGGTTTTAACATAAGCTAGTATTAAAATTTTAACAATTAAAAATAAAAAATAAAATTCGATTAATGTAAAGTTTATAAAAGTTTATAATCTTGATCATCAAATCATAGGAAAAAAAAAGAAAGAAAGAAAGAAAAAAAATATATATAAATAAATAACTCACCTACGGGTACAATTAGGGGAAAAACACCATTCCAACAACCATTCCTTTCAATGACCACCATTTGACGATCCTTTAAATTTGGATTGTATAAATATGAGTATATAACAGAACCTTCTGTTGGTTTACTAATTCTTTTATCCATTGGAGGTGGCAAAGGAGTTCCAGGTATTGATGGTGAAGTAGCTGTTGAACTTGCTCGAGAAGGTAAACGATATACAGCAGGAGGATTTGGTGAAGGAACAGATAAAGTACTAGCATCAATAATTGATGCTTCAACAAATATATCCAATTGATGAAAATAATTTATTGCAGCATCTTGATCAGATAGACCAGAATCAGCAGGAAGACCAATTATAAGATAAAAATGAAGTGTTTCATCTTTAAAAATGAAAAATAAAGGAAATTAGTAATTAAATAAAATAATAATTATTAAGAATACCTAACAAAAGAGTTAATAACAATAAAAAAAAAAGAACCATAATACGCAATAGTCCTCGCCTTTGTAGTGAAAATAGAATCAACTTCTTCCTTGGTACATTGTATACTTCCGTTAGGTACAGCAATGTCCAAGGTCAACTCATTAAATAACGTTTCCTGAGCTCTCATGCTTACAACAAAAATTAATTATCGTTACAAATAGAAAAGAGGTGAAGAAAGAGCAGAATGTGAACTTCGAAAAAAAATCTTTTTGAAATTAGTTAAATAACGACCACGTGGAATGTATCACCTACAATAATAAAATCCGACGTAAATATTGACACAAAAGTGTATGATTTTCCAAGTCACGTGCAAAAAAAAGGCTTTATATGGTAACTAAATACTACCAATTACTAGGTAATTCTACCTAAACTTGACCAAAACTTGATAATTCATTAGGAAAATGTTTTTTTTTTTAAGATATAAACAGTAAACAAATAAATATTATGATAAGCGTGCACAAATTTATTATCAAACCCAAATTAAGTTAACCTAAAATATATAAAAAAACGAAATTTACGTATTAAAACTTTTCTAATATGATATTACTAAGACTGCAGAAAATTTGATATATTTATTAGAACCAATCAAAAAAAAAAAAAAAACTTTTGATATTTCAATATTTAGCATATATATATATACAATTGTCTCCGTCCTTCTCACAAATAGGTAATGAACTGAAATGGATTTCTATAAAAGTAAAAGGGGGGATACGGGGATTTAATACCGCCATAATCTTATTTTGATTCATAGAAAAATATTAGGGAAAAAACAAATAAGAAATTCTCGAATATTTAATTTCCTAACTTAGATTGAATGAAATAACTTATGTATTAAACGGAATTACTAACACACTAATCGGTATTAATATTATTGCCGATATACCTTATAAAAAACAAATGCAGAATAATAAAAGCTTTTTTACTATTTAAAAACATGATCAATATGACCAATATGACACAAAATATATGTGAAAGGTTATTTGTTATCTTTGATTTTTTTTTTTAACGAACAAATCAAATTTTTCGAGAATCATTTAACATTAGCAAAAATGGGTATGATCTTTTTTGAGGCTGAAACAATTTTGCATTGAGAAATGAAATATCAGGGACTCCCAACCAATTTTACGGTACGTCATGTAAAATTAATTGAAATCAAACTAGTTGGGAAATGATATACACCATAAAGTTATTTTTTGCATACTAAGAATATTAAGATCATTCATTATTGAATTTTAAAGGTTCTATATTATAGAATTTTGTTTCGATATAATAAACCAATGAGCGAATGTTTGTAACACTACCTCACAGAAACACTAATTAAGTCTTTTCACAAATATAATATATAATGCTTAAATTGTTTGATATTGACATCACATCTTTATTTACAAGTTAAAATTTTTTATCATTATTCTCGTAATTTAAGTATATTGTTATATATATAGTTCTTACATTTTATTTTTTATTTATTATTTTTTTTTTTTCCAATAAAAAAAAAAATAAATAAAAAATAAATAAAAAAATCATGATTTTGTTTCTTTTGAAATAAAGAAAAAATAACGAGAAAAATATTACTATCGAAATAAATAAATATTTAAATATAAAATATATATATGAACCTTTCTAAATTATATATTATTCTTTACATTCTTTTCTTATAAATAACTTTATCCCCCCTATATCCATCCATACCATGATTGCATCCGCTACTTTCCTTCTCATCTTTCTCGCTTCGTATTGTAACGCTAATGATTCTAGACACATAGATCTGGAATTTGAGGACGATACTTATACTAACTATAGTGAAATACCAAAACTTGATGATACAAGAATTTATGGCCCATATGCTACTCGAGACTTTTACATCGTCTTGATTTTTGGTTTATCTGCATTACTAGTAAATTTACTTGGAAGCTTATACGTTATATATCGTAAGTATTTGTGATAAAACCAAATTAAGAATAATTGTGCTTAAAATCCTTTTTTCTTTGATTAGGAACATATATCCAATTAAGACGTGTTGGAAAAAATAATGTTCCTTTATCTTTGAGATTTCCATTCTATATCGCATTAACTGGTAGGCCCTTTAAAAATTTACCCTATTTTTTTTTTCAAAATAATTTGGTTCTAAATTATTTTTTCTTTATATAGATACATTTCTTTCGCTTGTCTTTACAGCAAATTTGGTAATTATTTGTAAACATCCCATTCGTTAAAATAAAAAAAAAAAAAGAAAAGTAAAATATAATCGAAATTTTTAATTTACATTTAATAGGGCTATACTATTATACGGAAATTGCCATGGCCAAATCCGGCATGTAAAATATTCGGCGCTTCTGTATCAACATTATTTGCATTAAATATATTTCTTGTGGGTCTTGTAGCTTTGACAACATGGTCTTGTGTATGTAGAGAATATTATATAGAGTTTGGGACATACGATTATAGACTTTGGGGTGTAACTTTAGTGCTGTCTGCTTTATTCTTTTTTTTTTCATTGGATCAATCCGGTCAACAAAAATTTTGGTTTGTACTTCAACTTGATAATTAATTTCTTTTTTTTTAATAATTTTTTATATTGATATTGAATTTCTTTTTTTTTTCAGGTGTGCTGGAAGACATCATAGTCCCTTCGTCCCTATTATTATGATTGTATTTATAATTATAATTCTGGCGACAATTCTCATTTGTTATATAAAGGTTTTATTGAAAATTAGAAGTAATGATAATATGCTTATCTCAAGTTATCAACGTCCTGTCGAAAAACGAGCTTTAAGAAAATTAATATCATATATTTTTACATTCCTTTTACAATTCGTAAGTAAGATCAGTGTACAATTTACTTTCATTTTTTAAGATCTCTGAATTATGTTTTATTTCTAATTAACAGATTCCTCTTCTCACTTATTACTTTTTTACTCTGGCCGAGGTAATGAAAATTTTTTCCTTTTTTTGATCTTTGTTCTAAACTTCTAAATAAAATTAATTATATTTTTTATAACTTTATAACCTAGATTGAAAGTATATTGTTGGACGTGCTGGCCATTACAAGTAAGCATCTCCCTTATTTCTTAAAATTTTTGATTTATTTGGACTTCTTTAATATTCATTCTTAAATTTTTAGCAATAAATTTTGGAGGAATTGGCAATTTTGTTCAATTCGCTATAAATGAAGGGTTAAATTCAAACAAATTGAATTCACCATCATCAACAATGGACCAAAATATGCAACAGGAATCTTCTGTTGTATCCAAACCCATTATTTCCGTTACAACCCATGAAATTACTGTCGTTAACAACATAAACGAGTCTGATTTAACACAAAATGATATAAATGATATTGTTTGTTATAATAATCGTTTACCTTCAGAACCCGATAAGAATACAATAGATATTAATAGAGGTATTATAGATGAAAATGATTTATCGAATAATGACGATGATGTTTTGACGGTATTTGATGGTACAAATTTGGTGTCAGCGAATTCACAAAACGTTTTGTTAAATGATGATCATGATTTTCAAGAAGAAATAAAGGAGTACACCAGTCATTGTTCTAGTTCATAATCATGCCCATCATTTGCTCCCTAACAAAAGAAAAAATTTTTTGTTATGATTAATAAGGATTTCCATAATTCTCACAATATTAAACATTAACCGATATAATGATATATTGCTCTGAGTTTAAAAACCAAATCAAAAAACAAAATATAAAAAAAAAAAAAAAAAATTAAAATTAAAAAATACATTTAAAAAATACAGTGAATTAAATGTAATATTCAAAAATATTACTGCATGTTATTAGCCATCTTTTCTCTTAGTCAAATGAATTCGCTATAACAATATTGTTGTCATTTGTTAGTTGTGTTTACATTATTAAATAAAGTATTATAGCATCTATTTCTAAATTAAAATTTTATTTTTTTAGTTGCGCACCTGATACCAAAAAAAAATAGCCTAGTTTCGAACCATTAATTTTAGTTACAAATTTAATAATTTAATTGTAAGGTTACGCTAATTATAACTACCCCGCAGTATAGTAAAAAAGAATCAAAAATAAAAAAAAATTACAATTTATTTATTAAACAGTCTTGAAACTTTTGCCAAACATCAAACGCTTTCAAATCAAAATCTTGAAGTTCCAGGCCATTCGATGATGTAAATCCGCATATACAGTATATTAAAAAAATCTAACATGCAGAACTTGTACATTATCCAAATTAAATTTACTACGAAATCCGCATATGCATATTTAATTTTACTAGCGAAAAACAAAAAAATCCGCAAATTCTGCAAGTTAATTTTAGACACTGAATATAAACTTTACAAGGAAAACCGGGTATAGCAATTTCACGAATTTTTTTGCGGTTAAAATATCACCCGAACTGCAGTTGATTTCACCCACTATTCCAATTTGTCTCACACAGTTAATCGTAATAGCGGATTTCGTATGAAATGCACAATGTTATTATAAAAATTTATCATTATTAAATTTAATGAGTTAGGCGATTATATAATGAAAAACTTTCCCTTTAGATTAAAACAAGGTATAGGTATATAAAGTTTATAAATTTAATTTTTAATGATGCTTATTAAATATATTATTAAGCTTGCAAAAATAACGAACGCTTTTATGCAATAAAAATTTAGGAACTTGATAGTAGAATCCCCTTAAATTGGGTTTAAAATCTTAATTCTTTCTTAACTACAGAATTTTTTATTTTTTATTTTATTTTTCTTGAAGTACGGGATAAAGATTTATCAAAGTCTTACTAATCGAAATTAGAATTAAGTGGTAAAACTTCGTAAAAGTTGAAATTATTTAAATTTGAAATAAATACCAATCAGAGTTCCGGTATATTAATTAAATAATTATTCCTTTTCTACCCTAAGAAATGGAGCCCGAGATCCGTTCGGTTATTTTCTAAAGAAAGATAAATTATATCCATACGTCCAAACTTGAGACATATAACTAACCCAGTCGGGTTTGGTAAGATCTATCAAATAATAAATTTGAATTGGCTTAATCAAGAGAACATTTATGTTCATTTCTTAACATGGCCATCCTCGGGTATTATTTCTATTTCGGTCATAAAAAAATCGGTATTATTATGCGACCCTTTTTAATTTTTTTTATTAATTACAGCAATCTGTCGGTAGCCAATCAATTTTACATTCTGTGAGGTACGTCATAGATTCGGTCACGTTCTATTGACTAAATCACGTGTTTATTATTTTGCCGACATCCGAACAACGGCAAGTTCTCGGCAAAATGCAACTTACTGTAATAAGCAACAAAAATTTGTAATTACATACCTGACAATCTAGAAAGTTCTCAGCAAATTTTCCATATTTGGGCTCGTCTAAGAGCGTGAATAAAAAATGGAAATTTTATAGATTAAGTCCGAATTTGAAATTTTTACATTAGGTGATTTATTTTTTTTTTTGAAAAAAAAAATAAACAAATGATTTTTTTTATTAAATTTTATCTTTTGATTTTAGTTAATTTATCTTTAGTGACTTTATCTTTAGTGACTGATATAATGACATGACCTTTACCACACACCGGGATCACCACCTAAAGTTATATTACCTATAATATTTTTAATTTTAGTAGTAAATGATTCAGTTTACATAATTAGTATTTCTAATAGAAACATTAACTAGAAAAAAGAAAAAAGATAAATATAATATTCTTAGAATAATTTTCAAATTAATTATTTACCATATATTATTCCTTTTAAAGTTGAAATTTCTTCATTCTACCAGTGATTGTAAATCTCTGCATTTACCTATTATAAGAAAGAAAAAATTATTAATAGTGTGCTAAATTTTTATTTAATGGTAAAGAAGACATAGCCAATTCCTCCTTTAGAATTAGCAGACTTTACTAATAACAAAGTAGGATTTTATCTGCTTGAGTTGGTTATCAAGTGAACAAGAGAAATAAAAAAAAAATAAAAATAAAATAAAAATAAAAAAAGGGAATAAAAAAAATAAAAATAAAATAAAAAAGAAAAAGCAGGTAATTTCAAGGAATTACCCACTTTGCTCACCCTTACCCAACCCAAACAAACAAATCCAGTACCCTCCTAAGTAAAATTTGTGAACTCCCCGACTACAATGAGTTATCCGTTCTAATTTTAGCTTAGAAAATTACCCACTTTGCAAATAAAAAAATACACACCTCTTTTTAAGCCATTTACACTTATCTAAAAATCAGTAATGCTCCATTCAGAGAATTTTCATCTGTTGTCCAGTATTTCAATACAAAATAATGCTGTAATTAATAAATAATTGAATACAATTCAATAATAAAAAATCAGATAACAAATATAAAGTATAAACACTGTCTCTTATACACATCTAGATGTGTATAAGAGACAGGCAATGTCCAAGGTCAACTCATTAAATAACGTTTCCTGAGCTCTCATGCTTACAACAAAAATTAATTATCGTTACAAATAGAAAAGAGGTGAAGAAAGAGCAGAATGTGAACTTCGAAAAAAAATCTTTTTGAAATTAGTTAAATAACGACCACGTGGAATGTATCACCTACAATAATAAAATCCGACGTAAATATTGACACAAAAGTGTATGATTTTCCAAGTCACGTGCAAAAAAAAGGCTTTATATGGTAACTAAATACTACCAATTACTAGGTAATTCTACCTAAACTTGACCAAAACTTGATAATTCATTAGGAAAATGTTTTTTTTTTTAAGATATAAACAGTAAACAAATAAATATTATGATAAGCGTGCACAAATTTATTATCAAACCCAAATTAAGTTAACCTAAAATATATAANGTTCTAATTTTAGCTTAGGAAGTTACCCACTTTGCAAATAAAAAAATACACACCTCTTTTAAAGTCTCTTGAGCCATTTTACACTCATCTAGAAAACTGGTAATGCACCATTCAGAGAGCTTTCATCTGTTTCAATACAAATAGTGCTATAATTGATAAATAAAAAAAGGAATAAATATGATCCAATGATAAGAGGTCAGTCAGATAACAAATATAAAGTAACAAATATAAAGTATTAACATCAAAAAAAAAAAATTTTTTCGCGTTTTTAATACTTGTTACGCACTCTTTTTCAACTCCTCTAAGAAAATAAGTTTATAAAACAACCGAAATCTGCGCGAGGAGTGTTTTGTGTGCACCTTCATCTTCGTTTTACCCTATCACTCTATAATAAAAAAAAACGATTTTTTTTGATCACGGACATCACTTCGTCCCTTACTTAGGCGTACGCGGCGCGACGTCTTTGTTTGTTAGGTTTCTTCAGAACGGTCTTTTCAAACTGCCTTAGAAATAAATATTGTATAAAGGAACATCCGAAATGTAAACACGCCGTAATGATAGTCCGAATAATACAAAACGATTGCATAATATGAAGAATTTTAGAGAGTGTTTATTTTTTAGGGAGTATGAGAGTATTTTTTTTTTTAGAAAAACTGATGGTATATATATATGTTGGGAGTATATATATATTTGTAAAAAAATCGCGACTCGCGACTCGTGAGTAAAAAATAAAAAAATGATGACTAACATGATTCTGCAATTGATGTTGATGATGTTGATGATGCTGCGGAGTTTGTGCGCGCCTATCAATATTATCGATGATAACGATCCAAATCACCTGAACGGTATATTGATATCATTGTAATACTAAAGACTTAAGTAAAATTTTGATAATAACTACAACCGAATACTTTGCATCATTCAAATGTCTTGAATGTAAATGTACTTAGCTGATATAAAATATTTAAATAATTTTGGTTTATGTAGATGAGCTCTTAGCTGTTCATTTGGAAAATAATATATTAGTTCATTTGCTAACGTTAATGCGTAATGATGGGGAGTTTATAGAGGGAAGTTTTTTGTGATACCAGCAGAAGTTTTACGTGAATACACCTACAACGAATACAAATCAAGACATGGCTTATATTAATATATAGAAGCAGCTATTGTTACGACTAGCGATCTTGATAATATACGTTGATTAGTTTCAGCAGTGTTCATCTTATAAAATAAAAATAATTTTATTTAAATGTACGTTATTAAAAAAGCTAAAAAAAAAATATAATGATATGAGAACAATATTTTTCATTTCCGAATTATAGGACTATGTGCCACTTTTCTCAGTTCTATTAAGGTTATTCCTCCTTATTAATTACTTCGTATTTAACTACTCACTCTTTCAACTTCTTTATTAATCATTCTTCTTTTGCATCCTTATTACTTTCTATTTTGTTTTTATTTTCATTTTCATTTTTAATTTTCTCTTCATTATCCTTGTTTCCGTCTTTGACATCCTCTTTGACATCTTTTTTCTTCTCCGTGTTTTCATATTTAACTTCTTTCTCATCTTTGTTATCGTCTTCGAATTCCTCCTTAACTTTTTCCTTCTCCTTATTTTCGTCTTCGATATCATTTTTCTTCTCCTTACTTTCATCTTTAACAGCCTTTTCCTTATCCTTGTTTTCGTCTTCGACATCCTCTTTGACATCTTCTTTCTTCTCCGTGTTTTCATATTTAACTTCTTCTTTCTCATCTTTGTTATTGTCTTTGAATTCCTCTTTGACTTTTTCCTTCTCCTTATTTTCGTCTTCGACATCAACTTCTTTTTCACTTTCATCTTCAACAACCTTTTCCTTATCCTTGTTTTCGTCTTCGACTTCCTCAACTTCTTCTTTCTTCTCCTGGCTTTCGTCTTTGGCTTCCTCTTCAGTTTCCTCGATTTTCTCACTAATACGTTGAGCTTCTCGTAAAGCTTCTTCTTCTATTTGTTTTGCAATTTCTTCAGGGCTCATATCTTTGTATTTTATAACTAATTCATAAACTTTTTCTGGAATAAGGTGAATATCATTACGATATAAAACCATAGTCATCATAACTTCACAAGGAGGTAATAATCTTTCGGGAATTTTTTCAATAATATATTCGGGAAATTCGACTTTGGGATTTTCACTGATAATTTTATACATTTTATTAATTTGATAACAAGTGCAATAACCAAGGTTAAGATGTACATCCATACGACCAGGACGAATGCAAGCAGGATCGAGATGTTCAACGTGATTTGTTGTCATCACAATAATATTTCCTTCAGCCAAAATATTGCCGTCCAAACATCCTAAGAAAGTTGATAAACTAAAACCCGAAAATGATGGACCCGTTGGAACATCTTGGTCATCTTGTTCAGTATCTTTTTTATCGATAGACGTAGATTTTGTAACACTAAAAAATAATTTTTTTCTTGTTCGTTTATGAAGAACTGTTGATTGTGTATCAACATCTTCAAGCACAATAATTTGATTAGCAGGAACCGAACTAAATGCAGCGCTTAATTGATTATCATTCGAAATACCCTTGAGATTTAAATAATAAGTATCACGAGATAAATGCGAAGAAATGGCATTTATCAAACTGGTTTTTCCTGTCCCTGGACTCCCATATAATAAAATACCGCGTCGATAAGGTATACCAATTCTATCATAAAAAGCTTTATCATTTATAAATGTATCTAATTCTTTTTTTAATAAAATTTCTTGTGATTCATCTAATGCAACACTATCTAAATTTCTAACGCAAGATAATGTTTGAACGCGATACCAATAATGACCGTTTCTTTCATATCTTGAACGAACTTTTACTTTTTTTTGAGTTTCTAGGTAAGATCGTGTAATTTCATTTAAATAATCAGTTATAATATCAATACTTGTACTCGATTCTTTAGTAGTTGTAATAAAAATTGAAGGTTTTGATTTATTTCCACTTGAACTTCCACAATAATAACTTTCATCATAATCATTATTATTATTTTTATTATTATTATCTTTCTCATCTTTCTTTTCTTCGGAAGGCACACTATATGTGACATCAAATTTTAATCCTTTATATTCAATCATAATTTTTTGATTTTTTTCAGGAAGAATATCAAAACCTGGAGGAGCACATTCATCATCATTATTACGATTGACTGAATCTGTATGTCGTACAATAAATGAACCTTTATCTAAGCACTTTGTTTGTTGAGAAATTAACCAAGATAAAGCTTTATAAATTACACTAACAGTTAAATCACCATAAGTTCCTTCGGTATAGTATTCAATCTGAATGGTGATAATATTATCACTTCTTATTGGATCATCTGATTTTGTCGAACTAGTAATAATTCTATTGTATAATGCGAGAGCTAAAGTGGAAATTCCTGATGCTATAATACTTGTTAAAAACATATCAACCGTCATTATTCCGGTCATATACGAACCGAATTTTACTGGAAGCCATGCTAAAAGAATCGAATTCACTTGAGATTGAGTGAATAAATCAATAAAAGGTTGAAAGATTTCAGAGTCGGACAAGTCAGACATGATGTAAAAAGAAAATAAATAAATGTTTAATTTTTTAAGTAAAAACGAAAAAAAAATAATATTCAATCAATTAAGATATTAATTAATGAAATGGATTATTTTTTTTTATTCCGAATAAAAAGGAATGAAAAAAAAGTTGAGACTTCTTCCCTTGTATAAATAACTTCCATTTTATCCGCAGAACAATAATTGGTAAACAATATGGTAAAGAGAAGGTAGTGATTTGCAATGAAAAACAAGAAGAAAGAACGATTCTAATACGAAAATAAAAGTTCAAAATTTGGACAATGAATATTATGAAATGAGTCACAATAAAATGATAATATATTGCACGTTCAATAATCGGATTTAAGTTTTCCAAGCGCCGATTATCTGATTTTTGAATTTTTTTATCGTTTAATTCAATTAGATGCGACGCTTACTTATCCACAAAAGGGAAGATTGTTTATTAATGAACCTTCCCATAGGATTATAAAGTTTGGATTGTTTGTAACGTTCAAAGTAGCTGATGAATAGTCAGTCATTTACAATATATTTTATTGATTGTTTCGCTTTTTAATTTATTTTCATTTTCTTTTCTTTTAAGTAAATAATATACTGATTAATGAATTATTATAACTATTGTTGTTATTAGAAAATCGGAGGAGTTGAAAATTGCACGCAAAGTTCCGATTTCATATGAGATATGCATGAGCGAATGAGCGATGTTAAAAATGTCACTTACATTGTACTTGGCGCTAAATTTCGTATCAAAAAGGAATTAAATTTAAAATGACTGTTATAATAATTAATAATTTTGGTGGTAACTATTTCATATATGTAACAAGAAACCTTGTAACGTTATTTGATGTTACTGCTGACAGTGATCTATTTCAAAAAAAATGCGGAATAGGCTAATAAAAATTGATCCTGTCTTTAAAATTAGTTTTTTTTTTAACTCGTCTCAGACTTAACGTTGCTTATCAATCTTATCAATTTTTTTATTTTTTTTTTTATTTTTTTTATTTTAATAAAATTATTACATACTCGTTAGCTGCAGATATTTTTTATCTTTGCGTATTACCGTACTACCATCTCATAAAAGGTTAAAACTTATAATATATTAGCTCGCTCTTTTTAATACTGTCTCTTATTAATATATTAGAAATTTAGAATATATTTCTGTTTTTGTGTTCATCGATTATGCATACCAGATTCAAGTAACACATGGTTTACTTACAATAACAACTAGCATTAAACAGTTTATTTTATGGTTAGCTTCATCAATATATAAGGAAAATTATAATAATAACTAGTAAATTAAAAAGCCCAATTTCCTAACTGTATTATGATGTACAGTTCATGCCACAAAACAGTAAATTTTACGACTAATAACACTTAGCCTGCAGTCGCTTCTTTTTTGTAGTAGTTGTTTTGATTACCTTTATTTTGTTCCTATTGTGAGTCATTCCTTCTACATTATTGGAATACATCTATAATTCTTTTCGTTATAACTTTTTAAATTTGATCGATCATTGTAAAAAAAAGAAAACCGCAGCAGGAGGCGCAACAAATTTACTGCGTACGTGCGTATCTTTACGTTATAATCTAAATAATTTATATTATCAAATAATTGTCGAGCAGTATGACTAATAGTTGAATGAAGACCAAAAAGGTTTCAATTGATGTAAAAGAATGTACTGTAAATCGTTAAGAAGCCGCCCAAAAATATGAGATGATGTAATTTTATATATATTAATTAACTTATTTATTTCATATCAGATATTACTATTTGTTCGCTACGCGATAGTTCCTTTATTTCAATGTGTCATGATATAATAGGGCAGTATCTTTATCGCAAATAAATGATGACGTAGTGTCTACTATTAAAATAGTAAGGATTATATATTTTTAATTGATCACTGTATTACAAAATTTTATAACAATATAAAATGCGCTCACAAATTTCATCAAATGAAAGGACATTCGAACCTTGAAGAAACCAAATGGTTACATGGGTTAGACATAGTCTATATGAAGCTCGCTCATCTTGTACACTGTTACTATATATCCAAATTATTCTTTACGGAATATCTTGTCCTTACAGAAAAACGAAAAACGTGTAATATGAAAATGAAAGCTTGTCTTGTGTAAATAAATGACTTAAAAATTTCTGCTGCATACCACCAAAAAAAAAAAATTAGTAGGTCAGTAGGATATATACGCGTATCCCTATAAAAAATTTTATCCGTTATTTCTGTAAAAACTCCGTAAAAATGGGCCTTTCACGGATCCATTCACGGAAAATGTAAATAATTCGATAAATTCTGTGTTATAAAGTTATTAATTCCGGAAATATGAGCCTTTTACGGAAAAAAGATGGAATAAAAAAAACGGATTGACTTTTTTTACAGGGGTATACTAATTAGTACTTGCAAATGAGGTTAAATGACCAAATCCTTCTTTGTTTTCATGAAATCAGTATTTTTAAATTTTGCCTTAAAAGTATAAAAAAAAAAAATCTTTTTTTTATTTAATAACTAGGGATGTTATGTAAGCTGAGAATACTTATTATAATATTATTGAACCATGATGTAAATACTTAGCATATTTGATTATAAGATAGATCACGAAGTAAGGTTTATTATTAGTACACATGGATTGAATTTTAATAGTAAAAACAATAAATTTAATTTTGATTGCTTTATTAATTAATACTTTAATTGCATAAATCCAATAGCATTAATTTCTGTGTCAATACTACTTATTTAGTAAGTCTCGTAGTAAATATTTACTTTGATTATTACTAAAACTCGCAAAACTTGTATTTTTATGTTATATCTTATAGTAAAATCAATAAATTTAAGTTGATGATAAAATACTGAACAAGAAAATCATTTAACTTTGGGCCGCAGCAGCAGTTTTTTACTTAAAAAAAATGAGAAATATTTCAAAAGAAATTATTTACATGTAATATGATAAATTTGAGAATCTTTCCGTCAATAAATAAGTAGACATTCTTGAGGTTGAGATAAAGAAATTTGAGGTACTGTACAGCAATAGACAGAAGATAAAGGAATAATGTGATACATGTTTAATAATATGTGATATTGTAATCAGTAGTTTCCTCAAAAAAGAAACTGGAACAGTTAAAAACTTACTGTCTTGGTATTAATAACGAAAGAATTTTTTACTAGTCACACGTGGCACGTGAATGCGCAATCTTGTAGCTGTAACTTTGTACATAAATACAAAAAGGTTGCATGTTCGCGAATTTCGATTTTATAAAAAAAAAAATATTTTTTCTGTAACATAAAATTTTCGAAGGAGACAATAAAAAGATAATCATGCATTGAGAAATTAAAGGCTAAGGTTTTAAAACTTCATTGGATAACAAAATAGACTTTATAAGCTTTTCCACTTTATCATTATCCGTGCATAATTCATAATATTAATATGGAAGGAATTTACCATATAAGATGAATGAACGTAAGATCGGAGATTACACGAAAGATGAATGATAACAGGACTAGTGAAAAATTTGACAAATTAAATAAACCGATTAAATCGACTTGAGTTCATATATAAAACTCGGTAAACCGTCAATTTAATATCGTTAAAATTTAATCTTTAAGGCGGAAATTAACATTTCCTGAACTAATATTTACTTAGTAATAGATCATTTTATAATTTTTTCTATCCCAAAAAACTGTATTACACAATTGATTTTTCTGTGCTACACATACACAGTAAGCGCATAATCATAAAGAATAACAATAATTGTATTAAGTGACTTTGCTTGCGTTGTAAGACAGTGAGCAGTGGGCACATTAGCTGTGTACCTTCTCCTAAAACACGGAAATCCCGAAGCTCGAAATTCCGAAGGTACATTATGCCGACACTCTAAATCCCGAAACGTCAAAATCCAGAATTGCCATAATCCCGACATTTCATAAGCCCGACACTTCATAAGCTCGAAATTCAAAATACCGAAATGAAAAATCTTAATTTATTAAGAAATATACTGTACCTTCGGGATTTCGAGTTTCAGGATTTTGGACGGATCACTAGAAGCACTTACGGCAGAGTTATATTAGTTTTGACAAAAAAAACATATGGTTCACATTTTTATACAGTAATAACTAAAAGAAACAATTTACAATCTTTATCAAAATACTGTACGAAAACTATGAATAATAAATATTGCCGCTATTAAATTAGACTGTCTTCTAAATTGATCTTTCATATTTATTTAATAATAACAAAGATCAGTCATTTATTTAAAATAAATGTGTTCAAAATGTTAAATATTATTGGTATAAAGTAATAAATATAATTTTTTAAAATATAATAAATATAATAAGAATATGTAAAAAGAGTATGAAATTATTAAATTAAGCCCTCTTTTCTTAATATAATTTTCACAATATGTGTAGAAGTTGGTCGTTTACGCGTCACTGATCACGTGTAAGCACGAGTTCAAAACATTGAATTTTTTTTTGAGAAAACTTAACCTAGACCGGGGGGTTTAGGCTTCTTATCCTAGACCTGGGGGGTCCAGACCTCTTATCTTAGACCTTGTGGCACAGCTGATCATTATCAGCCTCATTTGTTTATTTACCACCATTTTTTTTTTCACACGAAATAAACGCTACGCTCACTCTCTTTCTTACTCTGCTCTTTCATTTGGTTTTTTTCTTTTATATTATTTTTTTCTATACAAATTATTTTTCTTTTTTTCATAATAAATATTTTTTATTACCATTATTTTCATAATAGTGTTTATTAGAACAATAAAAAAATCTTTTTAATAAATACAAAGTGTTCTTTCTCTAATAATTACGCTTTAACACTTGCAATAGGTAAGTTTATTCTGGTTTCTTTAAGTTTTGGATTAAATTATTAAGGTATGTATTGTTTGAAACTTCTTTCAACTAAAGTTTGTGATTTTACTAACATGTACGTGCTTTTTGTAGATTTTCATGGTATAATTTTAGCATTCTGATTAAATTAATTGGCTTTGGTTGGTATGTTGAAAAATAAAATTGTTTGAATACTTGTATTTACAAAATTTCAATGGAAATTTGTGAAATATTTTCACTTTAATAATGGTATTTTTTTGAAACAAGGTTATTTTGTAAGGAGAGAATAAATAATAATATAATAGATAATTCTTTACCCAGTTGTCAAATATTTGATAAACATTTCTAATATTTGGTTTAGTTTAATTTTTTGTCATAAAATATTCCAAGAAAAATGCTCATACTTCGTATCTCGTTGTAAAATATTGCTTTAATAAAAAAATTAATTTAAAAATCTTGAAAAATTTCTATAAATGTTACGCGCGTATTAGCATATAATGTATTATAAAAAAATTTATGAAAATTTCTAAGATAAAAATGTTACGCGCGTATTAATGTATATATTATAAAAAAAATTTTATGAAAATTTTATCTGATAAAAATGTTACGCGTGTATTAATGTATATATTATAAAAAAATTTATGAAAATTTTTCTAAGATGGTTATTACGCGTGTATACAGTGTATACAGTACATTGTGAAAAATTTTCTAAGATAAATGTTATGCAAAAATAAGTCTTGTCCAATGGATTTCAGTGGCTGATTAAACCAATCATATTTAAGGAGGGTCTAGGATAAGAAGCCTGAACCCCAGAGGTCTAGAATAAGAAACCTGAACCGGGGGTCTAGGATAAGGATGCTCTTTTTTTTTTGGGTGTTACGATAACATGTAGTGTATGGATACCTATGTTCCAATTGTTCCATACAGATCTACATTGTTTATTACCAAATAAGGAAAGGCCTAGACCGTTCTATTCTGTACCACGTATGGTCACGTGATCCTTTTATATGTGATGTTTAACCATACCTTACATACATAGCCAACCATACACTACACGTTTACTAAATTAGTGTCAATCCTTATTTGTCACCCGTTATTTGTCACCGTAATCGGTCACACATTCCGGAAAACATATTTAAGAACACAAACAAATCATTTGATGAAATAAAATAATACTTAATTCATTAATAACTTTTTTACGAACAGGTTTAAATGTAAAGTACGTCTTTTTAAAAAAAATTACAAATAATACAGGCTTAAAATTATTATAATATGGAAATTTCAATAAATTTATTTAAAAAATGTCAAATACAAATATAAAGTATAAATACACGTATACTACATAATTTATAATATATTATGAAATAAATAATATATGAAACCTAAAAAGCTACATTCTTCTAAGGGTAGATGTTAGTAGTATGAGTTTGAGTATAATCTGTAATAACATTTTGAGAGTTGTTATCTTGTTGTGATTGGTCATAATTATCTGACACATGTTGAGAGATATTAACAAAATTCGCACTAGAACCATCTGAACCACTGGTAGTATAGTAACTACCGCCGTTATCATTCATATTTAATTGCTCGTAAATTTTGTTTGATGCCAAACAATGAGTCAAATCTTGTTTCAAGTAAAATTCCAAATTTTCTTTACATTCTCTTGAGAAATCCAAATTTTCTTGTCGTAGATCATTAATTTCAATCCCATAATTAATTTTATTCAACAAATCAATAATGAATTTGTACGAAACCAGTTCACAAATAACTTGATAAATTTTTTTATCATCAGGTTGCTGGTGATAAAATACATGTAAATTATCTGATTGAATGTAATTTTGAGTCAAGCAGACGGGATTGCTTAAAAGATGTGAAACGATTTCAAATGAGATTTCTTTGCAGGTAATATGATAAATTTGATGATCGTTCCCTGCTTTATAAAAAAATGAGTATTCGGCAATAACATTATCTTGAGATACGTAATTCATAGTATTAACAGTGGAAGATGAAAGATAATACATTTGGTTCATATTGATTCGTGCAAATACTAATATTATGAAAATCTCGTTATGCGTGCTTTTTGTCGCGACAATTTTTTTTAAAAAAATAGGTCGAAAGAAGTTACTTTTTCTCTCTAATAAAATTAGAAATGGAAGGTACTAGATAGCAATCAAAGAAGTAATTTTAATTTGGGATTATTATTATGTAGAAAAGTATTTTATGACTTTTCTTTATTGAAGGAATTTTTGTTAAAAAAGGAAAAAATAGAGAGAAAAAAAAGTGGTTTTTTTTCGTTATTTATTTTTTTTCTTGAGAAAAAAAATTACAAGAAAAAGAAAAAATAAATTAATTAATTAAATAAAATCAACAGATATAAGCGAAAGTGCAAATACTATTGGTTTTTTTTTTGATTCTTATGAAAAGGTTATTTTGAGTTGTTTTTGTACTTTTGTCGAAAAAAAAAAAAGAGGATTTTTGTCCCTTTTATATTTTACCTACTTTAATATTCGGTTAACAATTTAACAATATTAAATTAAAAAAATTTTTTATATTATTAAAATAAATAAAATTTAAAATTGTGCAACCCAAAGAGCATAAGTGAAAGTACAAATATTTGAGTAACATTATAGAACACTAATAAAAAAAAAACAGTGAGAGTTGATGAGGCAACTGTTGATGAGGCAAAAAAATACAATATTTTTTTTCATATAAAAAAAAAAATCAAGAGGTACTTTTAATATATTATAAAATATATTTATACAATTTTATACATAAAAAAAATTGTTTGATAACGTAAGTGTTGAACTTGAAATTCTTTTAATTCTTTTACAAATCTATTCATTTTTTTTCATTTTTTATTCTAAAATATTTTGTTTTCAACAAAAAAAAAAAAAGCTCAAATTTGTTTTCTTCTATTAAAAATAGGAAATATCCAAAAATAGAAAAAAAGGGGAAAATATTTTTGTAAATCTATAGTAAATCTATAGGAAATAGGTCGGTCATAGTCACACAAACATTGAATTATACATAAAATTAATACTGTACCATTTATACATAAAACATTGTTTATATTTATTTTTGAATTCTTTTTAAAATTTATAAAATATTAAAAAGATCAAGCGAATATTATCGCCTTTTTCTTTTTAGTGTGATCTAGCTAAAATAATAATTAAAAAAGGTGAATTTTAGAAATCTGTGATTACTAAGATTTTATTGTATTTTCAGGTAGAGAGGGTGCAAATACAAAAGTGACTCCTTAAAAATTTGTGTAACATTTATGCTTAAAAGTTACTTATAAGTAAACTTACTTTAAAACTTGTGATTACTAAAATTTTATTGCATTTTCAGCTTGTATTTGCATCTTCTATACCTGAAAATACAATAAAATTTTAGTAATCACAGGTTTCTAAAATTCATCTTTTTTTATTATTATTTTAACTAGATCACACTAAAAAGAAAACGGCGATAATGCGTAAGCCGCTAATAATGATTATTAAAAAGTTAATTTATTCCAATACATTATTCAATTATCAAAGAAATTTTAAATATGAAATTATAAACATTATATAAAAATAAGATAAACAAACAAGATATACAACCACGTTTAATTAAGGATCGATAAGTTGATTTAATTTTTTATAACATTCACGTGTTACTTCAGAATTCTTGAATTTCCGCTCTTCTTCATGCGTAACTTGACGATTTTCAGCTTTTGGTTTTACAAGTTCTACAAATTTTACATGAATGGCTTCAATATTTTAAAGAAACAAAGATTAAAGCAGCGAAGGTTCAGATTATCATAAAGCCATTATTTCTATTAAGGAAATTTATGCAGGAGGATTATAAAGTAATCTTTTTAACAATCGAAAATATTATAAAATGTTATTTATATTATAAATATTTGTTATTGTATAACGTAGATTTTATAGGTTTTTATAAAAAAATTCATCGGTTGTCCGAGTAAATATTTATCCATTTGTGATGTAATCTTTTAATAATACGCAAAGGTATTTTTTCTCATTCCATTTCTTTGTTAAATACGGTATGTTAAAAGATTTCGTGTTTTAAAGATCCCATTCAATAATACCATAAAAGGACTAATTGAAATACTCTGAAGTATTTCAATTTAGTCCTTTTATGGTTAAATTGTTATACAGTCTCTCTATAAGTACTATATAATTTTTCTCTAAATGCACTCTCTTACTCAATCTCAAGTATATAGAGATCATGTAAAAATTCTCTCTCTAAATGCACACCCTCTCTAAATACACATTTTTTCAAATTTCGTTATGGTCTCAAGGGGGGACACTTAGAGTGAGTTGACTGTATCGTTATATCAGAGATGACCATAAGATCATGATGATCCATAAGATCCGAAGGACTAACTATATTGAATTACCCGTGACACAGGATGTTTCCAACAGTTAGATTGGTTTCTGTTATTGCTTATCTATTCCGTTATAGGAAATAACGCATGATTGCATCACGATATCAAAGTACCAGTTAAATATCTTTTACAAACACGTCTTCACTTCCTGGTTAATTTGGTAAGTTCGTTGTTCATTTTGCATTCTGAATATTTTTTTCCAAGCTTTTGACCTATCCCCAGCTCTTGCATCTAACACTCAATCTGGTTGTATTCCGAATTTTTGACTATTCACCAGGACAATTATTTCTTCACTACCATTTAATTGAATGTAACGGCCTCGATGGCGCCTGGGACTCTCAATAAGTGAAAGAGATCAAGCCAGACGAATTTTTAACTTTAAAGAGAAAGGTAATATTTTTCTTTATTTAACCAGAATCCACGTTCTTATGATTAGGAGGATTAGTCTTATTTTATTAACCAGGGGAGTTCACATTCTGATCATAAGAATCAGTCCTCGTTTGCAGACAACACTAAATATTGTCTCGCCTTTTTGATATGTAGGTTTAAATCTCTAGAAAAAGATGATTCTTTGGAAAACAATTGAAATATCCTCCGCTTATATTCATGATACGCAAATACCGGAGATGATAATACACCATCCCTCTAATAATACATGTAGTGATGATTTATTTATTTAACAGTAATGGAAATTGAATCCGCGCAATTGGCGTAGCGTACATCGTTTTAAATTTCCGTTCATGTGATTGAATGTAGATAAGCGCGATATTTCATAATGGCGTTAATATTATTTTATAAGAGTGCATATGACTTCATAGTAAAGAATGTAGTACAACAAATTTATTATTTCATGTCGGAGAACCAGTTTCAGTATGGAATTTTATCGACATACGATGAGCACTGGTTCGTTAAGAGGGATAACCAGGACCTTTACATTATGGAGCCTGATCGACATCACCAATAATACTAGAGGCGTACGCATTTCTTGCATAGCTTGCAAAAGACTGCCCTTTTTCGAAACATCCAAAGGTTGCGCCTGAAACCTTTATGAGTAATATGCGCTCTGCACGTATAAAAGTAATCCGAATTCCCAACACTGATGATGAATCACTTTGGATGATTTGGTACAGATGAGATCGAAATAGATGAGGAAGATGAAATCAAGAATCTTAAAGAAGCATTTTGGTATTTGCTATCTTTTATGTATAGCAACTATCTTCATTTATACTTAATCTCTAGAATTTAAATTCGGAATAAGATACTCAAAGTTTTAGCCGGATGTCAAATGAGAAAAAAAAATCGACATGACATCAGTATATCTTAATAATATAATGGATCTGTCTGATATAAAGATGCGCAGAAAATCGAAAAGTCCTTAGACGAAGATTAGATTTTATGGTTTAACAAGATCCTTAAAAAACGAATTTTATATCAAACCGACGAGTTCAAAATCAAACGTATGTAATAGAGATCATATGGTTCACCTTATTTGCGAAGAATTTATTTAAGAATTTTAATTAACAAAAACAAAACTAAACTACTTAGCAATGATAAGAATCTCCTCGAAAACAAAACAACGAAACTAGCATTCGGATCTGACGTAGTGAACATTAATATAGTACCAAAAGACCAATCTGAACGTATACTTGCCATCATATTAAATTACTAAATATTTCGCCTGAAACTTTTCAAAAGATATTGAGGTAAAAGAATTGAAATAATAAATTATGGCGTTTTTTTTTTGATTTAAAAAACAACATATTTTAAATACTTACTCTTATTACTATTTAACATTAGTAATTTCTATTACTCTTTGAAGATGAGGGTAACATCCCCGATGATATCGAGTACCAGGTTTCTTGCTAGATCATCGACCTCGTCAATGCATGAGGCTGGAACTGGAGCGTCTCTGGGGGAGGTCCAGTGCCTTTTAACATACTCGGTCTTGATGGCCTTAGGCATTTTGAAGAATGTGACATAGATATACTTCAAGCACTGGTACAAGCAGTCATTGAATTCCCCGTTGCATCCGCCTGAGGTCGGCGGGTTATCCCTCACATCGGTCAAAATCTCCTCCATCAGGCGGTAACTGCGCCTCATCATAGTGGTCCAGTATGAAAAGAGATTGATTCCTCCTCACCCGCCCAGGCTTCCAATTTTCGTAAGGGAACAGGATTTGAAAATTTTGTCTGGAAATTGGGCTTGGAGAGTCTGCCCATATCTGGCTATACTCCTATGGAAAAGTGGGCATTCGTTTAGCCTATTATTAACCTTTCTGTAAATTGTACACCCGATTAGAAGCTCTGATGAGCTATGAATCCAAGAATGTTAACTTAAAACGAAAACGAAAATTGAAATAGACACCATAATCCACATTTTAAATCGGTTTTCAAGATGTTATAGACAACGGATGGTAAGTATTTATTATAAATTTTAAATTATTCTAGCGTATCAATTATTTTTTTTGATCGAATTGACTACTTACATTAAACTTCATAAATTCGATGGATTATTTAAAGCGATAAGAACAAAACCGAATAATCAAGTTATAACTATTATCGAATTCTCAAGTAGCGGAAAGGCATCCTCAACTAAAGAAAACGATAATCATGTTAATTGTTATGGGAGTTTAAATTTATCCTTCTCTCAATCCAGGGAAATTCCTTTTCTAGAGCCAGAAGAACTAGCATAATTTATGACCTTGAAGCGAGAAGAATGATTGTTGTTGAAATACCATGAGAATCCTAAATTTCATATTGCAACCCGTCACCAAGGGAAAGGCGCGAATCTACTTGATACAATTTGCCAGTAAGTATTTTTGTTAAAGTTTGAGTAATAAGAAAAGTATCAAATTATTAACGGTTATCTTAAGGTCGGCGAAACATTTGTCTGCGAAATGACCATGTCGGTTTCTCGGTGAAATGAATGCGGCCCCCCTGCCAATACATCAATTCCACCATGTCTTTGAAAAATTTTTCAAAGTCGTCAAAGGTCTCAGGTACTTTAGTACATATGAAACGGTCAAGAAGATACACTGATGGTAAGGGATGGATCAAGTACTTTTACGATCATCTCCCCGATAACGGAATTTAGGATTAGAGTTAAGGAAGTTAGGAAGTTAGGGTTAGGATTGGGTTTAGGAAGATTCGGAAATGATGGTGGATGAGGGGGAGGAAGATTCAGAAATGATGATGGATGAGGGTGAGGAAGAATCGGATGAGGGTTAAGGTTAGGAGTGGATTGGGATTTCAAAACTGTCAGTGAATGACTGTCGGTAAAATTGATCCCGTCCGTGAAAATTTAATTCAATGTTGAGAAGTTTATCCAGTTTTGGACAGGTTTTGGGCAGGTTTTGGACAGCCTTTAATATGTCAAAATTTGTGAAATGATTGTCGGTGAAATGGTTGTCAGTGGATTATTGTCGGTGAATACTGATCCGAATTTTCGGATTGCGGATTGCATTCTAGCTCAAAATAAGTGCTTTAAATTTTTATTAGCAGAAAAATTTGGATAGAGGTGGAATTAGGCGATCTTGAAACAACTACCTAAGCGGCCAGACACATATAAAACAGCCAAGAAGATACACTGATAGTAAGGGACGGATCAAATACTTTTCACCGATAACGGAATTTAGGATTAGAGTTAAGGAAGTTAGGGTTAGGATTGGGTTTAGGGATAAGGTTAGGATTAGGATAAGTGGATTAGATTTCAAAACTGTTGGTGAAATGACTGTCGGTAAAATTGATCCTGTCAGTGAAAGTTTAATTCAATATTGAGAAGTTTATCCAAAAATATCAGTCTTATATATCAAAATTTGTGAAATGATTGTTGGTGAAATGGTTGTCGGTGAATGAACCAGACCGACAGACTACAACCGAAGAATTGAGCCATTGCCAACAGATGATGGTGGAGAGCCAATGAATTTTCCCTCGACGCAAAGAGAACTTGCTGCTTTAACGGACGAGGAAGTTCTTGATCTCCTAAATTCTACAATTTAAGACCATTGGCAGGACTTATAAGTTATTTGAGTTTCTCTTCATGGTTAATTAATGTAAGCGGATGTCTTATTACGGCCAAGGAAATCAACAAAATTCCTCACACAGTTGGATACAATAATCAAGGATACCGTGACTTTTTAGTCACAATCAGTAGAGTACTATATTTGAATAAATAAGTCTGTTTTTGCGTAGAATTTTACGAAATAGCATATGTACACTTAATTTAAATTTTTATTAAATAAAAATCATGTGTCCACAGTAACACTGTTATTAATCATTAGCTTCTAAATGGTTTTAGGGTAAATGTTATTTTATATTTGTTATAGTACAATTAATTGTATTATCGGTTGATTGATTTTAATGATGAATCAATCATGATGATGGAAATACTATAATGAATTTAATGAATTCAAGTTAAAATCAGCATTAATTATTTAAATCCTTTTGATTTTTTGATTTTCACTTTTGATTTTCAATGTTTAAATCTTTTGTTTAATCTTTACCTTTAAGCCATGACGTGAGTAAAAAATTTCACTATTGGAATGACTGATCCGGTATCGAATTTCACTGTGTATATAGTTAAATTCCTTTGTTTTGGTAAGCGTAAATGAATGAACTTTGGCGCATAGATGAGAGTAGATGCTTTGCGCATCCTGAAAAATTTTAAGGTACGGCCAAACGCGTCTCCCAAGAAATGCTCGAGATATATCTTAAGAAGAGTGTGTATCCTTATGAGTATATGAATAGCTGGAGCTACTTACCATCCAAAGGACGCAGTATAAATTTTATTAAATACATCTTTTTGGATTTTAATAATAGAAATTTACTTCTAAATAAAAAATTTGATACAACTGTTTACAAAATTATTACAAATTACGTAAATTTAGGTTTAAATAAAAGAAAATTCGCTGGACGAAGTTCTATAAAACCAATTTACCATCCAAGGGACACAGTATAAATTTTATCAAACCAAAATTCTTGGTAATATTTATTTTATATTTAAATAACGTTTTTATTTACATATTTTTGGATTTTAAAAATAGAAATTTACTTCTAAATAAAAAATTTGGTACAACTGTTTACAAAATTATTACAAATTACGTAAATTTAGGTTTAAATAAAAGAAAATTCCCTGCTTTTATATTAAATCGGACAAACAATATAAATATTTCTTAATTCTGTAAATTTAATCCTATAAATATTATAAATATTAAATTTACAATATCTCCAATAATTGTTTCGACTATTTCTTCTTAACGACTATATAAAAATAAAGACAAAAATCATTAATCAAATCAGAATTATTATAAATATTTTATGGGGAATAGAGATATCGGTCGAAAATCCATGAATTATTGTTCGGTCATTAGGAATACTGCGGTGACCAATATGAATTAATGATACTAATACTGATTTCAAAAATTGGATGTACCATAAAATATCGGTCATTAAATCTCCGCATATTCCTAATCGACTAAACAATAATTTATAATAAATCATAGAATTAATCAAGACAGTACCTTGAATGATGTCTTCATTATCTACTATGTGTGATAATCCAACTCTTTGTGGATTATGCTTAGTAGAAGTTCCCTATGATATATAAGCATAAAGTTATTACATATTCAATGTATAAATAATTCAGAATTTATAATAAATCAACCATATTCAACGTATAAATAATTCAACCATATTCAATGTAGAATTTATAATGAATCAACATACCCAAACCAATGCATATCTAAATTCATCAGCTAAGGAACGATGAATTGCATGACACTAATATAAATCAAATATAAATCAAATATAAATTATTAAAAGGAAATTAGGGTTTTCTTATGTGCAAAATAACACTAACCACATGCTCAACAGTAGCGCCTTTTCTAACAATTAATCCACCTTCAAGGTCGGGATATTCTCCTCTTTTTTTCGTATAAACTCGTAATAAATTCAAATGTCTCCACATTTGATCGACTAGATAATCAAGATTTAAATCCATTTCACAACTAATAAAAAAAAAAAAATTATTATTTTAATTGCTTGTATATTAATTTAAATATAATTGTAAAATAATTATAGCAAACCTAATGACAATAGTATTTAGTTCATGAGCCAATTTATCTAATTCCTCCAATGTAATAGAATCGATCTTATTATAAACATAAAGACATTTGATATATTTTCTATTTCCCAAAACTACGTCAATAAACTCATCAACTGTAATATCCTCACGCACTAATACTTCAGCATTGAATATCTCTTAATTACCAAAAGATTGGTTAAATATAATATAATAATAAAGTATAGTAAAGTATAGTAAAGTATAGTAAAGTATAGTAAAGTATAGTAAAGTATAGTAAAGTAGTGTAAAGTATAGTAAAGTATAGTAAAGTATAGTAAAGGATACTGTAATCATGTAAAATATGATAAACCATTTTTTCATTTAAATGTGATAATTTTACAGTTGCATTAAAACTAATTCCGCCACCTGTTTTAACCTATAACAAAAAATATACTAATTAAAATACGTATATATTAATAGTAAATTAAAAAAAATATAATTTTCGTAAAATAAAACCTTAAAATAAACATTCGGTTTTCCACGATTTAATCGAATGCCAACTGCTTCTAACTCACGTTCTAATAATGTACGTTGTTGACCACTTTTTGTAGCATCTAACATCATTACAATCAAATCTGCTGTTCTCGCTACAGCAATAACTTGTCTACCACGTCCCTTGCCTAAATTATTAAAAAGAAAATAAGATCTCAATATAATTAAACAAATTGAAGTGAAACTAATAAAAACCTTGTGCAGCCCCTTCGATGATTCCCGGTAAATCAAGTAATTGAATATTTGCTCCATTATGCTCAATCTTTCCAGGTATACATGTAAGAGTTGTGAATTCATATGCTCCAGCTTCAGAATGAGTTTTTGTGAGTTTATTTAATAATGTTGATTTACCAACTGAAGGAAATCCAATTAAAGCTACACGAGCATCTCCAGATTTCATAACATCAAATCCTTCCCCCTATTTTATTAAACGAAAATTAGTTAAAAAAATTTTCATTATAAATTATTAAATTAAAGACGCCTACTTTTAAACCGGAACCTTTTGTAGGTTCCAATAATTGAACTCTATACTTTGCTAACTTTGCCTTTAGTAAACCAAGGTGATACTCGGTAGCTAATTAACGAGAAACTAAAAATTAACATTTCGAATATATAAACGTATACTTATTTTATTAAATCTTGTTTATAAAAAGTTTATAAAGTTTCACCTTTATTTTTTTGAGTTCTTGATATTTCTTTTTCAATTTCTGAAATCTTTTCTAAGATACCCATTTTTAATGATTAAAGTAGGGGAGATTTTTTTTTTAAAAAAAATTTCTCGATTTCAAATTTATACGTCAAAAATTAAATCATCTAACCAAATTAAGTTATGGTGTCACCAGATTAATTTATGTTAAAATTATCACATGATTTCTTCGATATTTAACATCAAAATACATCAAATACAAAGTGTGATGAGTGCGATGACCATTAGAATTCGATATAATTTCTTGACAGTTGAGAGTTGATTTAAAATTCGCAAGTTTTAGAATAATTTGGTTGAAATTGATCGATCTGTTATAAGAGGGACAAGCTTTTGTTCTCGACCTTGTACGTCTTTGCAGTGTTGGGCAATTGGACAATTTTGGACAGTTTTGGACAGTTTTGGACAAGTTTTGGACAGGGTTTTGGACAATTATCTATCTTATGTCCAAAACCTTGTCCAAAACCTTTAAAGTTAAAAATTGTGTCCAAAACTCATCACTGCGTCTTTGTACGTCCTTGTACGTCCTTGTACTAATGATATCTCTATATAAACGAGATGAGTTTTAAATACAATTGTAAAAAAAGATAACCAATTTTTTTATTTACGCGTTTCGGCCTTTTCCAATTACTGTACTGTAATTTTTGTAATTAATCATATATATATATATATACATATATGCACTTTTATGTCATTTTACCAGAATTTTACGAAAATGCAAACCAACGTATGTTTTTATATGATAACATTTTATTTAAAATATATTTTTATCTTATCACTCTACTTACCTTACATTATATTAAAAACGCAAAAAAAAAAAAAAAAAAAAATCGATTTATATAAAAAAAATCAATTACATTAATTGCATATTAATATTAAAATCAATTTAATTGAGTAACAGCGATTATATTAAACTAATATTATTGTATATTATTGATTTGTAAAGATTGACGGAGAAAGGGCGTACGGAAAGCAAAATACTGGAAAATGATGGGAAAAATGGTGGGAAAATGCGGAAAATCCATTTTGGGATGGAAAGCAAATACTATACTCAGATACTCAGATGCAACAAATGTTGACACATTAAGAAGAAAAGGCCGATTATATCCTATTTACGTGCCAATATTAAGAATTGAATAATTCCGAAATTCTGGAAGGGTCCCATAAAAATTTTTGTCTGGAAATTCGAGGGGCAGTCTGGGTACTAGAAAATTATTTAACAATTTAGAAGTAACCCGGACCATTTTTTAAAATCCAATATCTCGGTATAAATCCAACGCGTCCTTTTTTTTTCAACAGTATTAAACAGTATTTAAGGTATTAAAGCAAAAAATTATAAAATGTTTTATGACGCTTTATTAAATTTTCGCGAATAATTTTTAAATAATAATACTTGAAAAGTTAGAAACAAAAAAATATATTTGTTATACCAAAGATGAATTCATTAATTATAACGATTATATATGATTATATAGTTTTTCAAGGATTTATATTTTTATATACAACATTTTTTAATTATTTTAATTATTTGAAAATAATTTAGCTTAAAATATACAAACAATAGATTTTCCTATATAAGCGAATCAAATGGAAATATTTCATTGCGTGTATTCTATATACTTTATTAGAGGATATTTTACGATATTATGTCAATTAAGAATTTTGGAATTAAATTATTAATTTATGCATGACTTAATTTCCTTATTTAAATTTTCCATAATAAACCCCGAGGAAATTAAATCCAGATAGTAAATCAGATGGTAAATCTTTAATTAATATAAATTGTCTGTGAATTTGATTAAATTTTTTTTTGAATACATTTTTCAACATTTTCATAAAAAAAACAAACTGAAAATTTTAACAACACGATTATTATTATCATAAACTATTCAAAATTATTCAAAGTTATTATTATTATTATCATTGATTCAAATTCAGTTCAATCATATAAGAATTAAATCATTTTATAAAACAATATAATTATCAAATCTTTTTTATAAAACAATATAATTTTTCATTAAAGAGATAAGAGATTGTTTAAGAAGAATATTTAATAATATTAATAAATAACTCCATTATTTAAATTATTTAAGGTTTAATCTAATATTAATAAGTATCTCAAAATATTATAATATTATTAAGTAAACTTCAATACTTATAAAAAAACTTGCCGGTTAGTCGAAATTCAAACTTTCTTTCTATAATTTAATCTCATGATTTTTTTAATAATTATATAATCTTTTATTTAGGTAAAAAACATCTTGTTTCTCTGAGTTCATTTCTCTCAACTTTTTTTTTTTTTTTAACATCTTTTTTCTCATCCTATATATCCTATATCTTAAGGAAACTTCTTTCTTTCATACGTTTCATATTTTTATATATACATATATATACATATAAATTTTCTCAGTTTGGTAATGAACATTTTTAGGTATGTTCCATATATTTTCACATGAAATACATGAAATTATATTAAAAAGATACTTTTTAACAAGAAAATTATCATACGTTAATCGACAAAAAAAAAATGAACAATTCAAACGACATGGGATGATTTTCATCTATTATAAAATGAAAATATGTTTCATAATCAAAATTATCGGAGATGATAAAATTACAAAGCGCATTAATTTTTTATATAATAAAAAACTTTGTTTATTTTTAGATTAAAAATTTTTTAAAAGTAGTTGCACATGAATGCATTTCTCATAATGAAAATCTATTCTAAATATATTAAAAGAAAAAACCCTATTTAGAATACTAAAACTGAGGTGATTTTCAAAGCGCATTATCATTTCAATTTTTTTTTTTTTTTATTCGCTAATTATGGAAGTCGATCATTCGATCTCTTCAAGATAAAATAATTTCTTTTATTACATGATTTAACCTGCAGAACCCGTAAAATTATGGTTTCAAATCACGCATTCAATTTATTTTTAAGTGAAATAAAAAAAAAAATAAAATAAAAAAAAAATAAAAAATAAAAAAAAAAATAATTATAAAAATTATATCAAATTATATCAAATTATATCAAAACTTATTACTTTTAAAACTTATTAAACTTGAAACAAATTTGAAAAAAATTCGTATATATAAAAAAAACTTATTTTTTTGCACGCACAGACCATACTTTTTAATAAAATAAAATTGGTTAGACCTTACAGATAAATTTCTTTCTTTAAAGGGATTCTAAATAATGTAAAACTTTCGCGTTTACATGTGAAACATGTGAGATTTCAAAATCAAACAAACATATTATAATTGACTTATTATATTCTTTTAATTATCTTTCATAAGAAAGTACATCCTTGTGTTAACTTAACTCAGGAAACTCAAGCGGAAATTTATTGTTATTTAACAATTGATCACAAAATAATTATATTTATTTCACATGTTATATATAAAAATTATTATGAACTTGCTTTTATATTCGGACAATTTTTTTTTTTTTTGGGTCAATGCATTTGATCTTTATTCACAATAATATGTAACAAACTGCTTTAAGAAAAATCAAGTTAAAAAAAAAAGTGGCTTTTTTTTTGAATTCCTTAAAAAAAAAGTAATAAATGCACAATGAATATCTTTATGATCATCTAAAAAAATATTTATATAACACGATCATGTTATTGAAAAGTGTATTACATAAGATATTATAATAAATTTTCTAATAATATTTAAACAAATAATAATTAAGTTATGCTGTTGTAACTTATAATGTATGAACGGATGAAAGTAATAAATATTAATACCACGTTTGACAAATTAATTAAAGATCAATTCTTCGCATTTCAAATAACTCTAAAAATAACGGTTACTCTCTTTTTTTTAAAATACCCTTTAAATTTTTATTAATTAATGGAATTAATCATGTGAAATGATCATTACCATGAGGGGACGCATAAGCACCTAACCGAATTTTTACCATGAGGGGACGCATAAGCACCTAACCGAATTCTTACCATGAGGGGACGCATAAAAGCACCTAACCGAATTTGATTAAGTGTCGATGATGCCGTGAGTTCCAATCTGTTCACACAACGTGAATTATCTTGATAATCATCCGTTAAATGAATAGATATTGAATTTCTAATTTATTATTAAATTCGTAAATTAATCTCTAACATGACTATTTGTCTATTTGTTTTGGTCAACAATTTTTTCGCGTCTCAAATCATACATTCCAACATTTATCAATTAAAAAAGTTTTAATTTGTAATAACAGCCAGACAAATTTTAAAATTATAATGAATTAATGAATTAATGAATTAATGATCAGTGATTAATCAGTGATTACCAATTGCACATTCTATTAACATTCCACTAACACTACTAACATTACTAACTACTAACACTCTACTAACACTCTACTATCATTCTACTAACACTCTACTATCATTCTACTATCATTCTACTATCATTCTACTAACATCATACTAACACTTTACTAACATTCTACTCTTACTTGTTATTTATTTTAGTAATACTCACCTATAACATCAACTATTTTCATCCATACAATATTCTTACAATATTCTTACAATACGTAATGTTCCCTTTACTTAAATTAAAAATTTATTAATTAAAACAAAATTCATTTAATTCATTAATTCGTTAATTTAATAATTCATTAATTCAATTATTAATTCATTAATTCATTAATTCAATTAATTCAATTAATTCAATAATTCATTTAATTCATTAATTCATTAATTCATTAAATTAATTCAATATAATAAATATAATATAAATTAGAATAAATTAACCATATAGATAAAGTTGCATTACCCTTATGGCATATACTTAAAGATCCTCCGTTCAACAATATTGATCTTCGGTTTGGTGATGATGCGATGATTACGGTGATTGCGATGATGCGAATGACGAATATGTTAAATACATTGTTTTATATTATATAACTATTATCCTTGTTTCCTAATTAAGTTTCCATAAATTTTAATTTTCACGAGTTGACCGAGTCTGAACAATTCCTATCATGACTAGTCACATCATTCACATCATCATCATAACAATACGTCATCACAGTTTATCTACGGAACAATTCG